ACCACTGAAAGAATGTGTAGAAACAGAAAAAATATCATATATTTTTACTGTAGTTCTGAAATGGTTTTAAATCCCGTTGTCAAGTAATGTAGCCTATATTGTTTGGATAATGACAGGCATTCTTTCTCAAACTTCTGCCATAAATCTACATGGCATTACCTGCAGACTCTAATTCCAGTGACCCCTTTTTCCTAATACTTAAGCATGAATACGCAAGGGGAGACCTGAAGTCCTCCACAGGAAATTTAATTAGAGAGGACACATTCAAACAATTTATGCAGCAGGAACTCAGGAAAACTGAGCTCCCGTGAAATGACTGCAGGCAAGTTTCTCCTCCCTACAGCATGTACCAGCCAAACCTGCACCAGCACTGCCTGTCCCTTGGCATGCACAGACATGGGTGGTGGCACAGTCTGTGGTCACTCTGCTCAGCTGGAGCATCACGCCTCCTGCCACCGTCATGACACTAAATCAACCTTCCTCCATGGCACAAATCCATGGACCCAGGTAGCTGCCTGCTCACACAAGCCAAGGCACACAGCTCATTCTGACACCTCCAAGGTTTCTCCTGTAAGAGCAGGAGTGATGGTCTGAGGCAGAGAACGAGGGTAGTAAGGGACAGAAGAGGCTGCCCATTTATAGGAGAAGGAATCTGTATGAGAAATGACTAATCACATGCATGGACAGGTGTGTAGGAGTAAAAGACTCAGGCTTTCCTCATAGCATAAACATAGCATAAACATAGCATAAACAGCATATTTTAATCAGCAAAACTCGTGCTGACCTACAGCATCTCTCTGTGGGTCATTTTGCTTTGACTGAAGAATTCAAGGAATAACAAGCTCCAGAGATTGCTAGTCAACAAAAGCATCTTCCCATTTGCTAGGATATGAGGCAAACACACTGTTTGCTCACAGTTTTCTCATGCCCAGCCCAGTAGCAGAGCAGCCACAGGCAGAGCCACTCTGCTGGGCACGAGAGATAACACTTTTTAACACACAGCTGCCCCAGCCAGCATCCCTGCTGACGTCAGCCTGAATATGAGCACTGATGGCTATAAACATCTGCTTCTACAGCAAAGTTGGCTGATTTTGTTATGAAGCTAAAAAGCATCATCTCAGAAGAAACTGGGGTCTAACTAACCCATGAGTTAGTTAAGAATTAGTTCTGCAGTCGACAGCAAAATAGTGATTTAACTCTTCCAGGTCCATGGGTAAATAAATCCTGGACAAAGAAGCAATAGAGATCTCCATATGCTCTTCTGTCCACTAAAGTGCTGTCCAAACTATATGGGGAACTTCTGATCCATAAAGTTATTCTGAGCTGCATCACAGTTCAGTCTGCACTGTATACCTCATGTCAGTCATTTACCTTGCAATCACCTGCAGCTTTTAAGTTTCCTATTAGCATTTTGGGGTTAAAGTCCTTTCTAGCCATGTCCAAAACAGCCTGCCCAACTGACTTTGTTTTTGAGAACTAGTTAATTCAGACATGCTTCCAGACTTTAAAATACAGCATAAACCCTACAGCTTCAGCAACTGTTCTGCTATTTGTTGTTACACAGGTAGGCTGCTGTGGCTGCAGCACTGAAGCTCCAGATCACAATTCTTGATGAATCAGCCTATATCTACTGAAAAATAAGCTCAGTCCAACTCAACCATAGGTGCATTTAATCTCTGCTGGCCAACAAAGCCCAGCCTCCTAGCCTTTCTGGAAAGCTAGCCCTGAACAAGGATTTAGAAGCTGGCAGTTCTTGTGTCACGCTCCTGGCCCAGGTCTTTTTTCCATCCTGCTCTTTTTATTCTCCCATTGCCCTTGCAACGACCTGAAGCATTCTCTTTGTGCTGGGGTGCTGAGCCAGTGAGACCTGCTCACTTGGCGCCGCTAATTAAGTTCAACAACAACATTTTTTTCAGTGGTTCTGTCCCAACACATTTAGTTGGGATTTTAAATTCTTTAGATTTCATTCAGTCCATGTGCATGGTGGTGTCACAAGGCTCTTGGCCTGGCTCAGCTGGTCCCAGCCCTGGAAGAGCTCCAGCACCCTTGACACAGTGCACATAAGCTTGGTGGCAGGAGCAGGAGAGAATGGTCCGAACAAAACAGTCACCCAAATAAGGTGCTACCATCACTCCCTCTTTGTTTTAATACACAGCTGCCCCAGCCAGCATCCTTGCTGATGTCAGCCTGAATATGAGCCCTGATGGCTATAAACATCTGCTCCTACAGCAAAGGTGACTGATTTTGTTATGAAGCTAAAAAGCATCATCTCAGAAGAAACTGGGGTCTAACAACCCCATGAGTTAGTTAAGAATTAGTTCTGCAGTCGACAGCAAAATAGTGATTTAACTCTTCTGGGTCCATGGGTAAATCCTGGACAAAGAAGCAAGAGAGATCTCCATATGATCTTTAGTCCTTCAAAATGCTGTCTAAACTATATGGGGCACTTCTGATCCATGAAGCTTTTCGGAGCTGCATCACAGTTCAGTCTGTACTGTATGCCCCATGCTTAAATATGCTCTAAAACAGGCCAATCATTTACTTTGCAATCACCTGCAGTTTTTAATTTTCATATTGGCTTTTTATTTTTCTCTCTTTGCTCCTCTTATCTGCTTCTGTCCCTTCAAGGAATACCAACAAACAGCCTGATGGAAAATAAATCGAAAACATGGCACAAGAGTAAGTTCCAGGATATGGAAAGAAAATGTTGCAGTCAAGTCCAAAGAAAAAGATGTGGACAATGGAGGGGCTATCCTAAATATATGAGTGAGGAGCTTAAAACCAAATGCAGGGGAAAGCAGGATTTTAACAACAGGATTCAAGGCTGAGGAAAAACATTAGAGAAACAGCTTGACAGCAGCACCTAAAATGAGCAGAAGAAAAGTGTACAAAGGAGGGACATGAAAAGATAGTAGTCATCAGTGCAAGATGGATGGCCAAGGCTCATTTTCTTACATAAATGTTAACAGAAAGCTGTGCTACTCATTAGGTTTTACATCCTTTTTTAAACAATGCTCTCTGCCTTTCGAGCTCTGCAGATCTTCATGCAACATGTGGTGGAGCCAAGACATCTTTTGATCTGCTACACAAAGACTGGCAAAACACCTCTGCTATATGATCCACAGGAGAGATATCTGCATTCCCAGAGAATTTTATCTCCTAAATCGTTTAGGCACATGAAGGAGTCTTTAATTTTATTGTTTAGCTGGAACTCAATACAATTGCGAGGATGGGTTCCTATCCAATCATAGACACATGACCATCTCTCTGCTTTTCTACCAGCTTTGACAAAATGAAGCCAACTTGTTCTTTAGTTTTTCAGTTATATGAATTCAGCTTAAGAAGAGGTTTTGGAATAAACAGCATTTAATGAAAACATGTTTCCTGGCAAATTTGTTAGGATCACCAACAGAAGTGGGGATCTGAAAAACACTAAAAACATACACATTTTTAGGAAAGGATATTACCATGGTAACAAGCTAGACCAAATGCAAAATTCTAAGGGAATTAGGATGTAAGATGCAACAACACATACAGCACAGAGTCTGAACTTTGTATTTCATCCTGACCAGCTCCTGTCAACACCAAATCTGATTTCTGAACTAACTGCATCCTTACAGATCACTTCTAACAAAATTGACTACCTTTCCTCCTACATAACATGCAAGTGATGCTTGCATAAACATGTGAGTCCCTGAAGAGTATGTATAAGCATCACCTGCAGGGAATAAAGGAGCTGCAGCACCTGCTGAAGTAGGCTGGGAACTTTCTGCAGTGGTATTTCCCAGGGTGCATTACAAGAAATATCAGCAGTCTTTGTCCTTATCCCTGCATTCTCTTCAGCACTCGCTGCTGGCCAATTGCAGAGCTTGGATATTGACCCCCATGGGTCTTTGCTCTTGACCAGTATGCTCAGAGCAAAGGTCTTTAACAACAGAGACCATCTGAGAGGAAAGAAAGCAACACCACTGCCCTCTGATCTAGAGAATGAGGGGACTCTGGACTCCTTCCAAGCCAGATCCCTATGGATACCAAGGAAATAGAAAAGGCTCTTCAGAAAGCCCTGTTCTGAATTCTCAGGATGGTGGATGGATGAGGAGCAAAGAAACATTTTGTAAGTGTTTTCATGATGAGTTATGAGTTAAATTAGGAGGCTGACAAGAGCAAGGAGCAATAAGTGTTCTCCTTGTAGAGTGGGACAGGGTTTGGCCAGAAGGCTAAGGAGGACAGTGAAAATTATGAACACTGTAAAGTCCTGCTGAAAACACTGAAACTGACACTATCAGGGCATGGCTAACACAGCAAGGGTCCAGCAGGAAGGGGACTCAGTACAGCCCCAGCCACAACCCAAATAAGGACAGCTGCTTCAACAAGCCACTTGAGAGAATTTCTCAGGAGACCTTATCATGATACTGGAAAAAGCATCTATTAAATACCAAATGGATTGCTCCAGATCTAAGGAAGAGGCAGCCCAGTCAAATCCTAAAGGAAAAATACATAGTGTTCCCAGCAGCACAGCAAACCCACCTGAACTGCTCTTCAGCCACATGCCACGAAGATGGTAAAATGCTGTGACAAGAGATGAAATTAATCTAACAGCAAAAATAGTCTAAAACCTCGTCTGTTGAAAGTTTCTGCCTTTGCAGTTAAAATAGGCTGCAAATTCTGCAGGGCTGGGACTGTTCTGTTTGCTTTTACAGCAGCTGGCTTGTTGGGTGGAGTCTCAATGCCTCCAAGATTGCCAAAATTAAACGCAAATTAAACTAATTACTTCACAGTTATTTAGCAGTGACTAAAAAAGATTTTGCCCTTGAGAAGAAAAGAAACCATAGACTAAAGTTGTGCAATTCCTGGAAAGAACCAAGGACATTGATGATACACAGCCCTGATGATCAGCTACCTACAGAAATGATTGTGCTTTCCAACCAGCCAAGCTGGCAAACCTCACTCCAGATACTTAAACTGTAAAATTGCTGGTTTGTGAGATTTCATCCTCTTACCTGACATCATTGCCTCCATGGGCAAAGGATCCAAAGCAGGCTGTTAAGATCTGGAGGAAGTGGAAAAGCAGATGGACCTGAGAGGTGTCTTTCTCTTCCTTATCCTCTTCCACAGGATCAACAGGGGGCCGGTTAGGATCTGCGAGTTCAGAGGCCAACTTCATTTCCACCCCACCTTCCTCCGCCTCAATCTCTGCCTCAGCCACTGCGTTGCAATAGCTGGAGTAGCTGTCATAGCGGACTCGCTTCTTGGAATAGGAAACAGTGTCTCCCACCAACTTCTCACTGTCTTCTGGAGTAGATGTATCCGCTGCCTTAAAGGAGGAATGCACAGGCATGCCACAAATAGCAGCAGTGTAACAAGTATAGCTGTTGTTGCGCCTTAAGAGTTTGTAGTTGTTTTCTGCAGTGGGCCTTTCATCATTGGCCCTGTCCAGGTGTATTTTGTGAAGCAAGTCTTTGTATAAACCTGAGTCCTTGTGCACAGTGTGATAAACGTGGCCATCACTCCTCACATGGCCATCAAAGCTGAAGGTGCCATTGGAAACAGGTGATTTCACCGAGGTGTGCGTCACTGAAAATGCCCTTCCTAAAAAGGCAGAGATTTAGAGGTTTTCTTTACACAAAATGCAATACAAAAGCCCCCTTCCTCCAACACAAGACAATAACATGGCCAGCATCTGACAATACAGGACAAAGAAGATCAATTTGCACTACAGCAGTGAATAAGCCATTCAATTCACTGCAAAATAAAGTCTCTCATTTTCTGTGCAAAAGAGCTTTGTTCCAGTGTTGAGTCTCCCCAGACATGCTGTATGACCCGCAGCAAATCACTTGGGATAAGCTATTCAAAAGTGATACTTGATGGTTAAATCCCCAGGTTCTTTGAAAATACAAATTTCTATAAAATTCCTTTCTGGAATTGTATTCCTATTCAATTCCTTGCTTGTAAAGCAAGCTCTACTTTTTCTGAAGTTCTGTCTACCTTGAATAGGAATAGTTAGGATTTCTGAAATGTGGTTTACTGCAATTTCATACTGGGACTTATCTGTTTAAGAGACATTTCATTCATGCTCATTTGTTTAGAAGACGTTTACATAGCTTTTAAAAATAATTTTTAAAAAAACAAAGGAAAAATTAATGTTCTGCAGAAGTATTTCCTTAGCTATTGCAACATTTTCCATATTCTATGAACATGATGATAATTATTCCCTCTGTATACATTTAATGTTAGCGTACACTGTAGGACACACATCAAAATGTATCACAGGTAATATTTCTGAAGAAACTGTCTTTTTAATTTCCTGACTTCCTTTCACTGTGCAACATTCAGAGTTGGGTTTGGCTATTTTTAAACTGGAAGCACACACTCTAAGGGCTCCACGTCATGACTTATTTGATTTTGTAAGAATCAGTTGAATATATTAGGCATTTATTAACTGAATTACAGGGCTTTGTAGATGTTAGCAAAGTGATATCAAAGTCAGCAGATCGCTAAGTGGAGGGGGGTTCTCCCACCACGTGGCAGAACAGAAAGAGCTTTATGGACACAAGTCTACTTCTTACAAATATATGTTCAGAAAACAATGTGTAAGATTTTTCTAGTGGGCATGCTCCAAATGGTCATGCATTTGTCAACTAAAGTTCAAATCTTTTAATCTTCTGTTGTAGTATGCTAATTATCTTTATGCTGAATTTAACCTTCATACATCAGCAATCTTTGTGGTCTGTATTTTTCCACTGTATTTTTCCATAGGATGGAAACACTATTAAGAATACAAAGTAAACCAATGCAAAAAGGCAAGTAATTTTTTTCAGCTGTTTCTAAAACTGAAATACAGCAAAAAAAAGGTAATTGATTTTATATCAGTGTCACTTGCAAATGAGCATCTTTCCAAACAAGCACTGAAAAGGAATTAGAGATGGAAATTCCAACACCAATTTACTATTTACAGCAGAGACCTACTTGCAGTTAAGAAACCTAGTTGAAAGAGAAAGAGAACAAACCCTCTAAGTTGTTTTAGCTCCTTACCATATGGTACACGTGGATGGTTTCCATTTGCAATATTATCTGATGCCCCAGCAGCTTCTGTTACTGAGCCAGTAAGGGGAATCGTGCTCTCATCAGATGCTTTGGCACCAGGAAGCTCTTTAAAGACTGGTGTTTCTTCATCCTGAATTTTATCAAGACTTTCATCTGATATCCTTGACAGTGTAGCATCTTTCTTTAACCGGCCTAAGGAAAGAATAATACTGTAATTTTAAACCCAACCTATACCTCTTGTTACTTAAGCTTCCACTGTTTGCATCAACAGCATGGTTTAACTTGGCTACAATAACTAAGCTTCATTTCATAAACATACTATTTATTTCTAACACTTTACTATGATCATTTGTGAAAATTCTACAACACCTTTGTTTCTTCTGATCAATTCACCAAAGTAGGTAACTGAAGTAAAACACTGAGCTGTTCATCTATTAATGAAACCTGAAACTTTTCTCTGCATTTGTTGAGAGCAGTAAAGCAACTAAAAGCTGTGATCAGCCCAACTTACCGTAAAGATAAAACAGTCACTTAAAGATGATCATTCTGACAGTTTTTTTCTCTTTAGCTTTTTCTTAATAAAATAGAAACAGATTCTATTCCAGGTTTTATTTTCCTGTTTCTGCTAGACTCCAGAACTGAGCACTGCAACGGCTTGCCTAACAAGGTTTTGAATTTTTACCACTGTAGCTTTTTCAGAACAAATTACACAAATACACAAAGAATAGTTAAGGCACATCCTGCCTGTGGGTGGGGACTGGACTAGGTGACCCTCAAGGACACTTTCACCTCTGTAATGTAATATTCCGTGATTTTATATCATTCACATTTCATAAAATAACTACTTACTTTCTATTTTTCTCTTCATCCAGGGACACACAAAAATCCAGACTAAGACAGCAAATACTAAGGACACACCAACTGATATTAGAGCAATGGCCCACATTGGCAGTATCAGTCCCAGTACTGTAAAGACAAAGAAAACCGAAGCAAGCCATAAATTAATATGACTTAATTATCCCAGGCAGTGGAAGAGCAGTCTGTTGGAGAAAAGCCAGTGTTCACAATGTATTCAAAACCAGAAGGAGTTGATGACTCTTAAATATTACCAGTTACTGCAGTATTTAAAAGTATAGTTGATATGGAAGCATTTGCAGGTTTAGTCTTCCAGTTTCCTGTTGCCTCACTGGGACGTTATTTCCAAAAGAGACGAGGATAAAACCCCCACGTCAGGCTGCTAAAACAAGTTTGCATTCATTTTTATAAATGAATGCACATTAAACCATGTTGCCCATTAGGGTCAAGTGTTTACCTGACTTTTGCCCTGATGCTTAGCTTGCTCTAAGCCCATATTTGCTTATGATATAAGCTTAATGCAGCACTCCAAAGCTGAGGCTTCGTCCTGCAATGCACAGTAACATCAACAACTCATGTTTCTGTAATTATTCCCCCTACAGAGATCCTTGCACTTGTTCAGTGAAACAATCTGACTCTCAATGAAGAAAGAGCTTGGAATCTGATCTTTCAAACCCCTATATACATTGCCTGTCTTGAAACCTACATGATTAATTCATCCTTGTGAATAAATGTTGCCAGAACAGAGGCCTATGAGAGTAAGTATGTATTTCTCTAGTATCAAAAATGAAGCCCCACCTTCTCATTCACACACTTCAGAGACTGTTAAGCTGAAACAGAGGGAACATTAAGATTCTTATTTCATTTATTTTGCTTAATAAGTCACTGTAGAGTGCCTGACCTACTTCTGCAGTACAACTAACGAGGAAATGTGAGTTATACAGCTGATTTACTGTTAAACATCTTGGATACATAGCCAATTAGACTTAAGAAGAATAGTAATGTTACCTTCAAACTGGAAATGTCTCGAGTTTTTTTATTAATTCCAGTAATGCTATGCTATGGAGTAGGGTCTACCAACTGCATTTATTTAGTACACCTAGTGTGTTGGATTTTAGAGAAATATTTCCATTCAAAAAAAAGGTCACTTTCTAAGCCTGCTTTCTTAATTCAGGGCCATGTTCAGGAGTCTATCTTCAATTGCCTCTTCATTCATAGCTCTTGGACAATAATCTAACCTAAAGATAACATTTAATGACCAGAGTCTTCAACAAAGTAGTTGAGATCACTGAACATCTTTGTTCTGAACCCTTTTGCTAGAAGTTTGTGCTTAAATGTACACCACTTCAGTAAATCATAAAAATATAAATGCAAATACTTAAACATAAAATGTGAGACTATAAATATACAAACATAAATACAAGAATATAAAAAAATTGACTAATACAAAAATAAAAATTCAGCTATAAATATATATATATGAATAAATACAAACATGTAAGGGCACATGAAATATACAAATGTACAAAAATTTTAAAAAAGCCCTTCAGCTTCATTTCCTTCTACTGAGTTGCAATCAAAACACAACACCAAAGAAAGAAGATGCATTCAATGAAGAAACAATGCTTGGGGATTCTTATCATTAAAGGGAAATAAAGAAGTAAATTTAAATAACAGTCTCGGGAGCCAGATGTGCCAGAACAGTGACTCTGCTGATGTCAATGGAGTGACAGCATTACACTGAATGCAGACAGCACCTGCTCTCCCACTCTGCTCTGAACCTTCACTCCTTAATGCACAAATCTAGAATACTTTTGAGAGCTCAGCATGTGCCCAGATTTACGATGCCAAAGCTGCATCTCAGTAACTTCCCTTCCTCTAAGGAGGGATTATTTTATAGCTGTGCTTTTCCCCACTAACCAGAGCGATCAGGAAGGTGTCACAAAAACACACACACAAATAGAAGCATGTGAGGAGGTGAACGATCTCCTCTTGGCCTTTGTTACCTCCTAACACAGGAGATAACCCTGTGGTGTCTGGGAGATAATGGCAGAGCACCCTTATATGCTGTAGGAAGCCTCCCTCCCGTGCCTCCCCGGCTCACTCACCTGGTGCTCCAGTGTACATGATGGAAAACACATTAATAGCTATGGTAGCAGCATAAAACACCGGGAGTGCGCGGAGACCATTGGGCACAGGGTCTTCCTGCACAGAAACCATGGAGAAAAGGAAACGTTAGTTGGATTTCACACCAGATTCACGTCAGCATGAACCTCCACGTGGAAAACTCGTGCTGCTGAGTTAGTGCCAGGCAGCTGGAGCTTTTAGATGTTGAGGAAAGGATGGCGAGCTGCTTGGTTACACCCAAATCCATAATGCTGGTCCTGGCAAGTACCAGTATTCTGGGGAAGCTTGACACTGTTAATGGGAACCAGGGACATTTGTTATACTTTTCAGTCAGTTGCAGACCTGCTGAGTGGCTTGGGGGCATGTTACTTTCTGCAAATGCGTTCTCATTTATTTTGCGTCCAAGATGAGGAGTCACTTTCCTTTAACACAACTGAAGGGTGCCAGGCAGCAGAGGGCTTTGATGTTTCGGACCAGTGCTACAAGGAGCGGTGCAATGCATCCATCTCAAAACCATACCCGTAAGCTCTCTGTTTTGACCAAAACAGCCTGGCACTTCCTATCAGCTAACAGAAATCTCTGAAATCCCAAGTGTCTGGTTGAATTAAACAGGTAGCACACACTAAGTGAGCAGGCAGTGTTTAGCACGGCAATGTTTAGTGTCTGCTGCCCACTGCATTCTCGTGCTCTCAGCACAAGGAAAGACTCAGCTGACAGTGCAGCAGAAATGCACCGTGTGAGCCACGGACAAAGCCTTTGTGAGGGACTGCTTTGGCCTTTCAAGGGGCTCCATGTGTTTGCAAAGAGCTGGGCAAAGCTGAGGGCTGGCTAATGTGGTTTTATTTCTTGCTGCCATGAGCTAAAAAATGGAGCTGAGAAAAGGCTGTGGCCACTCTGTGCTGTGCCCTGATCCCCAAGCATGATGCAGATGGGCTGTATTTGCAGGGCCAGCTGCTATTCATAGACACCCCCAACAAGGGTGTGGAGCCCTATACAGGCCACAGACTCACAAGCTAGAAAGCTGCTCTTTTTTATGCATGCACACAAATAACTACCTGCTTATGTCAGAAACTCTACAGATCTTACTGCTTCGTGAATGGCACAGACAGCAGTTGGGAGGCAATTTCCTTAATTTGAACTTTTTCTGCTTCTTGAATGCTTAAATATGTGGCTTTAATACCAATGTTCACATGATTTTGATAGCTAATTTCTTAAGTTGCTAGGATCTAAATACAATTGTGGAATCTTTCCTTATCTTTTATGCAACTTGAGTTATTTTTTATTCAAAACTAAATCTGTTCAAATCTATAATCAGTTTTTATCACTGACATTTATTTAGAGCAGAAATAAAGAACGATGAAGCTGAGGTTACAGGTGGTGCTATTTATAGCAAAAGAATTAATCCCTCATCTATTTAAGTTCCCTGTATAACTGCTAATATAGTGTCCCTTATTTTAGGTCACTGTCATGCACTGCACTTCCCCATTTTAGCAAGTTGAATGGTGTGAGAGAAATGGAAAAGGCAGATAAAAGTGTTCAGGCTCCAGTTCATGCTGGCTGGCAGGCAAGTCATCTTTTGCACTGGAGATACATGGACTGATGATACCTCAGGTCACTAAAACCCATTGATTCAGGTTTCTTGAGAATCTACAAAATAGGCAGATGCCCATCTTCTAATGTCTGATGTGCTGGAAAACTAAGACTTAAAATTTCACAACTTTAAAATACCTATTAGAGTATCTCCAAGGGAGGACTGTTCTGTTTAAATTACAGTCAGAACAGCTATTATGAGGCTAAGTCAATGCCAGCAAGCTTGTGCTAATATAGAAGCAGCCTCAATGTACCATCCTCTGACCAAACAGAACATACAATATTAATTATCACATAGCACCTTCTAAGTCTCAAACACTTGTGAAATTACTTACTGTGAACTTTCAGAACTGATAAGAATTCATATAACTCAAATGGCTATTAAAAAAATGACTAGTCTCCTGTCCAAAAAGAAGTCACAAACTTTCAACTCTGGAAATGCCAGCACTCAAATTCGAGGCTAAAACACAACCTTCATACTAAGCACTCATTATAATAGTGAGATTTCTTTACCTTGTTTAAAATGAAGAATCTGATCAGCACAAAGAGGATTCCAGACATCAAGCCAGATAACAGTGGGGAAATAAACCAAGAGGCAACTGTGTTGAAGAAAGAATGAAAGTTGAAATAAACAGTATTCTTGCATAATAGTTAAGTATATTGTTAATGAGCAATAAAATGAAAAACCATTCTTGTACAACTGGAATGAATGTTCTACATGTTTACTTACAACTGCAGCAACTCAATGTCCACTGACACTCATGAAAGTCAAAGTAATGCTAAGGATCGTTAGAAACAACAGTCAAAGCATTTCCTGCTAATTTTGCAAGTTTAGCAATCAAACTCATCGGGAAAGTTTCTTGTAGTTTGAATCAGAGTAGACCAAGAAAGCACTGTAATTTCCTAATCACCATGACCACAAATGTCGCAACTAAGTGGAAAGCAATTGTATCTAGCAGGATGCCATGCTGCTCCCAGGTTAACAGTCCTGAGTTCCAGAATACAACAGAAGCATACATCACGTGATGTATGATGTGTGTACATTTTTTGCAGGCCAGCACTTCAAGTGTCCAGGATTGATTTCACAGAAGTAGGTGGCAAAGCTCCCACTGATTTCAATAAAACCAGTTTAGGGAGGCACTCTGGAAATCTCATCCACAGTGATTTATTGTTTGCAGCATGGTTACCAGATTGATTCTGCTGTCACTGAAAACTCTTTTACTACTGACAGAATTTTAAAAAATACATGTATTGTTAGAGTTCTAATACATTACCATGCCTTCAGCATAAAATCCTTTTAATAGAGACTTTAGGCTGTACCTTGAGTTCCAAAGGCTTCCAAAACAATAACAAAACACTCCATTGCATCCCTGCTTGGATGTGCCACTGATCTTTGCAATGGGAGGCAGTGAGTTAAATGTGCTGTATGCCCTGAAGGTGGTGGGTGGAGAAACATGACTGTGGGCATTCACATGATAGCATTCACATTGTTGAGAGAAAGAACAGGGTAGTATGAGCTGCCCACAACAAGAATTAGAAGAGGAGGAATGTCACCTTGAAGCATGTTTCCTGAGGCGCAATGTGTCCCCAGTTTACCACTGGGGAAGTACAACTTTTGTCTCACCCCTTTCTCCACTGGAGACATACTGCAGCCCTCAATGAACATGGCACCAGTGCATTTTCTGAATGACACAACTGGGGTGGAAAATAATGAGGGAGTGCTATCAACACAAAGTAGATTTCTGGGAATGTTTTTCACAGACAACACAATATTTCACATACCCTCACACATAAAAGGAGACTTTTACACATAAAAGGACCACTTACCAATCTTGACAAGCTGCATCCACTGGACACCCTGCGTGCCAATTGCCACTAGAGAAAATCCAATCGTGGCACCTACAATGCAATGGGTCCCTGATATTGGGAGTTTCAAGAACGATGCAATTAGCTGCCAAACAGCAGAACCTAGAAACAAATGAACCATATGGTATAAACAACAACAATAACTTAAGGCAGAAATTTCTTTGCCATGTGCCCACATTCTTTTACAAGTGCTGCCTACACTCCTCATGAATAAGAGAAATCTTCTAAAGAGAGTTTTGTTCCTGTTCTGTCACTAAAAGCAGACAGTAAGACAGTTTAATAACAGTTTTTTTTTTTAATGCTACATCTTACTTACGACTGCTTATGACTAGCAGCTCCCTACAACTCACGACAGTTCTGCTTTCAGTATTTACAGCCTGTCTGATTAAGTACACAAACTGCTATCAGTGTGTATCAAGCCTAGAAATCCTCATTCTTGAGAGGTGACTCTGGAAGCCTCCAGGTGATCAGCGTGAGGACACATTCACCATTTCACTAGTGAATACCCATGCTCCTAAACCTGGATACTACCAGAGAAAGGTTCAAATTGTGGGACAGAGAGATTTTATGCTTCATCTTAGTGATACAGCCCTCCAATCCTCTATAGGAAAAATGGACTGAGGAAAGAATGACTCTCTCAATGCCTTCATCTGCAGCTCATTGTTGCACTGGAGAAATTCAAGACTGCTGAAAAGGCTTATGTTAGTCATGGAGAAGCCAAAGATACCCCTGGCATAAGGAAATAAGTTCCCCTAACTAACTAAGGGACAGTGGTTAATGGTCTATAAAGTAAATGCAACATCTGGTGTTCCAACAAGGCATCTAGGAAGGATGCTGGCCAAGAGTGCAGGGGAAAAGAAAGTACCCCAAGTACCTCTTTCAGGAGTTAGACCAAACACAGTTGGCCACCAAGCTCTCGAGCATGCAGCTCCATGCTCTGACTCCTTTTCACTTTGCAAAGACACATGATCCCTGCTCCTCTTGCAGTGGCACTAACCTCAGGACACCAAAATACTTTTGAGAGTGACACAAGCTTTCTGTGGACCTCCCCTAATATTAGAGAATTCTTACAAAGATCTCTTCATTTTAATACTTCATGGCCTTAAGACTAAATCTTCATTTATTGAGTCACCAATGGCAGCAATCAGACTGCCATAAGAGATCCTGAATTTTCTGGCTCATGCCACCTCTCTTAATAGATCTGCAGCAGATACGGGTAATAAAGCAAGGTAACTAAACATACGCTGGCATATTACCCAAAGTTTAAACCTGCATCCTCAATTCCAGCATGAGAAGATGATTTGAGGGTCTTGAAACAGCGCCATCTGCAAATGGCAATTTGCTGGTATCATATGTGACTACATTTGGAAGTCAACCAGTTTGTAAAACTGATCTCTCATGGCGTACTATCCCAAAACAACTGTTACTTCTCTTGCTAGTGGAAATTCTAGATCAATCAAGGAACATCTGCTCCTTAAGTTTTTGGCTTCTTTTCCCCTGGACTAAAATAAAAATAAAAACACTGTGAAACCTTTGGCATGAACTTGGAGAGCAGCAAATGGAAGTGAGGAGAAGAAGGAATCAGATGGTTACATCTGAAAGAAGCCAAATAAAATTATAAGCTACCCATAGATATATAATTACAAAATACTCAATATAAAACACAGGGGAAATGCAACCAAGCCACAGCTGCACTGCAAATGTCTAGTGAGGACTGGGGATTTATTGTCGGGAGAAATAGAGGGAGTATAGAACTATTTCCTGTTTATTTAACTTCACAGAATCACAGAATGGTTTGTGTTGGAAGGGACCTTAAAGCATCATCTAATTCCAAACCTCATGCCATGGGCAGGGACACCTTTCAGTAGACCAGATTGCTCAAATAATAACAAATGGGAGAGAAAGAAAAAGGTGGGGGAGGACCAATGGATGGTCTGAGAAGGACAATGCATAATTTAAAGAAGTTTAAGGAAGTACCTTAAGGAACAGAAGAAAATACAAAGGAAGCCAGAGCAGGACTTCACTTTGGGACTTGCAGCGCTTTAACTACCTACATCCAAGATTTAACTCTTCTTTAACATGAAATGTATACTCTCAATTTTTACCTTTGCAAAACTAACCTAGGAAGCAGGAGGCTTACTAGGCTGATCACAGAGTCCCAGATTCAGATCCTTCATGCCTGCTGACACCGTGGCCCACTCAATTAATATCCCCTAAAGACAGAAGCCTGGCTGCACACTACCCTGACCAGGAGTTACCTGCACCAGCATTTGGCCAGGGTGCATTTCATGCTCTCCTTCTGCTGAGGGCACCTCATACATTCTCCTGAGGCTCTAGTGCTCCATGCCAGCTGTGAGCCCCCATCAAATACCACATCACCTGCAGGACTAGATAAGTACTTGGCTCTGTACTCTTGTACTCTGGCTGGCATCCTCCTCAGTTGCATCAGCTGCTGACTTCAGCTTGCACCAGAACTTCTGGAACAACACACGGGCAAGTCCTGACAACAACCTGACAATTAGTTAATGCTGGGCAAGTACTACGATTTACCCCAAAGAGCAACTCCTTAACTTCTCATAATAAACAACATTTTAATGTGCTACAAACTACTACAAAATGCTACATTTTAATATTTTAATCTCATTACTTCCTGCTTTCTTTTCTCTTAGGAGAGAAGGTTGACCAGAAAATTACATCTGCTGTTTGCTGCAAGCATCAAAGGATCTTCCACCAACATCTGGAAAGAGGATACAGTGGTCTCTCCCAGACTGTTGACTCATTTAAGCCTCATTGAAATTCAGAAGCTAAATCCATTTGCAAAAACATGATCATGAGGCATGAGGGACAGGGTGGTGGAAAATGCAGAGCAAAAACAGAAAGAGGAAAAGAAAACATCCAAGAAGGGGCAGAGAAAACAGAAAAAATACCATACATCCAGAGAAAAGCTGGAGATGGATTTGAGAAAAAAAAATTGAAATCTGCATTTTGTAACTTGTGATTAATTCTGAGACTTATAATGTGGAATTTCTTCTTAATGCCCCTCCTGGAGGAAGGGAATGCAACTGGTCATGAAGTTCACACAGGCTTATGTAAATACGCATGCAAATAAGTTGTTTTCTTTGAGCTTCTGGCCAGTTGCCTCTGCAGGGGGTATCTGAGACTTAAAACTTTGCCCTGCCAGGATGAAGATACCAGAAATAGATACAGAAAAGTAAACAGACCCTTCTTCAATGGGAATCAAGAACACACAGGTCACTTACATTTCAAACGGTGTGCAGTGCTTCCAGCTCACACCCATGGGAAAAGACAGAGCCATCTCAGCAAGCACAAGGATAAAAGATGCAAGTAGAATGGTGCTAAAAAGCCACCCACACCTTGAGGGAAAGACCAGACTCTGCAAGGTATCAGGAAAGAGGAACTGATGGTGGGGGAGGGAGAGGGGGAAAGGCAACAGCACTTGAAGTGGCTTTAATATGGAACCATCTGTGAAAGTGGCTGCTGTCCCAGTGATTTCCTGGTAACCAAACTCCTCTTGCCCCTTGGGCAAGGAAAGGTGGCCAATCTTCAGGAGGCTCAGAAGCAGCCAAAGAACCAAGGGAACTACCACCATACTCTTAGGTACACAAAGCCACCTCTGACAACTCCAGAAACTGTCACTCAATATCCATTTTGATACATAAAAGTAATTTTTTTTAAAAAAAAAGGCACTCAATTTTCCCTTTTCCCAAAGAAAACAGGAAAATAACCATATGTAGTAAATCTCTGCACAGACTCACCTATCTCCTGTGCAGGTCTTGCATAAAAAGTGTGAGGAGGTTAGAAGCGATAGGTGGAAATAATATTTAGGTCAGGTTTAAGTAGATTTAAGGAAGAAAATCTTTAAGTGGAACATCCCTCTCAAGCAGAGGATGCTTCGCTGCTCGTGTAAATCATGCCACCCTGTCACGGGATATCACCAACCTGCCAGACTGAGGTGTGAGGGCTGGCCCCTTGCTGGGGCTGCTGATCCCACAGATAAAGGGTCTCCTCCCTGCTGCCTCCTGCCCTTTAAAAGCAGGCTTGTTCCTTGAGGGAGCTCTCTAAAAGCTCACAAAGCCTCTTGCATATAAACAGAGAGTAAATACGTAGCTTAATGTTACTTACCTCAGAATATGCTGTTTGTTCTGAACAGAGATTTAGTTAAATACAAACACAAGCAAGGGAGCAGACTCTAAGGTATCTGACCTGCTGTCGTTTGAGTCAGAAAACCTGAAAATATCTTAAATGTGTGTTTATCTTTACTGCTCCCTTAGTTTTGCTGTGGGCAAGGGTGAAGTGTAGGACTAATTGCAATCACGAAGCAAGGCAATCAGTTTACACAAATGTGTTTGGATTTCTGTAACTTTTTTTAAAAAGATTCCTTCTCATACACACTTATTTCAAACTGCTGATTCTGTAGAATCTTCTGTACAGACACAAATGGTAGGCTTTTACATGTTCCTTTTACCATCACAAAAATCTCCAAAATAATTTTTTTAGTATCTTATATGTATATAGGATATATGGTGTTAAACATTTCATCTATTAGTTAAATGGCTGAACCATTGAAAAATGTAAATTATTAGAGGCATTTAAAAAAACGTAGGAGACTTAAAAAGGAATACAGGCCCCTGCATTCACACAAAAGGAAATGTGCAGTCCAGAAGATGGGAAGACTTAGTTAACAATGCTGACAATTAACAGGGTGACACATACAGAACAAACATTATTTGGAATAGGAAAGTATTACTTACCAACCATCGCACTCACTTCTCCTGCCATCAGCAGTGGGACAGTGTTGTTGTACAGGTTGACATCAATGATACCTTTCCGAATTGTTTCTCCTACTTTTGCTCCCAGTAAAACTGAGCCAGTGGTTTCAAAAACTGAAGCCAAAATGCAAGCTTGGCGTAAAGTAACAACACCAGAGCCCACAGCCGTTCCGAAAGAATTTGCAACATCATTTGCACCAACCGAAAAAGCTAAAATAAAAGCAATGATAAAACCCACGATGACCATCCACAGGTACTCATCCATTGCCATCTTTCCCCAAACTGCAGATTAGCTTCCCCTTTGCAAATAGTTAATAGTCAAGGCTGTAGGGCACCGCAACGGATTTGGAAAGCAGATTTCTTGTAAACAATGAGTTCTCTCTGGAAAGTGCTGGGTAGTGTTAGAATGTGAAGAAACTGCTAACTGCTGATTTTCGAACTACTATAAATACTGTTCATTTGGCTGCCTTCGGTCAGCAGTGAAACACATTCCATATTTTTCTTCCAAACCGGTAGGACTGTGATGTTCTGTCCTGCAGTCATGCAACGGAGACATAAACAAAGAAAGAAAAAAAAAAAAAAAAAAAAAAAAAAAAAGAAAAAGAAAAGGGGAATACTCAGCAGAGATCATAACAATGCATGTTTTCAGAAGCAAACTGATTTAAACCCACTAATAGGGGGTCCTACCTCAGCATGTGACTGCTCTAATCATAAAGCAATTCAGAAAAGATACAAATTAGGTCACCTCCAAAGCAATATTTTTCTCGCAACATCACTGACCAAGAAAATCTTTTGAGTAATTTAAAAGGATTTAGAAAGTTTGAGAATTTTGTTTGTGTCGAATTTACCAAGCAGAGCAATAAGCTCTCTTTCTAGCAGGAGGTTTCCTCTTGGCATTTTGCACCCAGTGAATATAAGACATATAGAGTACATAGACCATACCACACAGCCTGACTCCCAGCTGATATATAACACCTAGCTCCACTGACCTCAGCAGAGCTCTCAACATTTTATCAGCTGCAGCCATGGATATGCTCCTTTGAAAAATTATTTTATATGTATGTATGCCTAGGAAACACCATTGAAAATACTCTGAAGAACATTAATATTCATCTGCTGTTGTTATCACATCCCATGCAGTAAGAATACAATTTCCTTACAGCTTTTCAGTCACTGAAACAGCACAATAATTTCAATATTTCCATGTATCCCTACTGGTTTAGAGAAGTCTATGAAAAAGGTGCAACGAAAACATTGAACTCTCTGTTTTTTCCTATAGATAGTTACCAATTACTAACAGGTACTATATTCAAACTATTGTCACAGATATCTTTGAGTATTTTGACAGTTTCAGTTCTATGACTGCCTTTTGAATTACATCTTTCTTAGTCTGATAAAGGAGTAAGCTCTTTCAAAGCAAAAAAATGGACACAGAGAAAGGGAGTTTAAAACATAAAACCTTCATCATCCAAAAGACTGTTAAATAGAGCAATAAGGCCCACAGAGACGTGAAGATGGTCAAAAGCCAGAAGGAAATTTTCCCAAACCACCAGCCTCCTCCAAGGGCTAATTCTATTCTGTTATTGGCCACCACAAAGATGTCCTGTGGTCCTGTGGTAAGGGGTTAAACGAACATTTAGCAACAAATATGCATCAGCCAACTTCATCTCTTTTAAGAAGGTCCTCTAGAGAGTAGAAGATGTCAGATTACAGCCCTGAGCCCACCTCCTGCTCACTATTTCCCCACAGTCACTTCAACTTCATACAATATTCACACATGCAGTTTCAATATCATGCTTAATTTCTTTCAATGACCGAAAGGCAATTTGGGTCCTTGGGTAGCAAGGAGGAAGGGTCTCTCAAACCCCTGAAATAATAGCAAAACTGAAAAATTAAAAGAGATTTTGGATACTCCTGAGGTGCTGGATCCTTGAGAACAACAAAGAGGAAAATAAAACATCTATCTATAAGTGTTTCCTAGAAAACTCTTAAATTAATGTCAAGGATTCATGCTTTCTCTACATATACATATTCAGCAGAAAAGATGTCCCTCTTTTTTTTCCACAGGCTCCAAACTGGCTGAACAACTGTTGCTCCAGTCTTTTCCAGATATGGAGCAGACATCAATCCTTGAATGCCTTACACTCTAAAATAACATTTCAGAAGGTCTTAATGGCTAAAAACATTTGTATAAGGATTTTTATAGTATGAGATAACATGAAAAAATGAAGCACCAAGGCATGTTTTCTGGTTGAAGACTTGTTGCTTTTTTATAATTCATGAGCACTCAGTCCATTGAGTGGAAAAGGACTTGACAGAAACAGGAAAGGCTAATGATATTTAGAAGAAACAATTATAGTTAGCACTTGTTTGCCTGTTAATAAAGACAAAACCCCACTAAAAGAATTTGTTAAAAAATTTATATTATGTGTGTGCGATTTTTGCTAGGAGATGAAATACAGGACTAAGGTCTTTCCTTGATCCTGGAGATTAATGATTAAGTTCTTCATCCATGCATTTCCACAGTACCTTTGCCAAGGTAGCCTCAGTGCCCCAGTTTGTCTTCCTGAAAATGGGCAAAGCTGACTGAGGTCCATGCATGCATCCACAGACTGTGATTATACAAGACCCATTTCTTTGGACCAGCTAGATAAAAGCACACCCTTATTCCCAATAGAGATCTATCTTAGATAAAAGCACACCCTTATTCCCAATAGAGATCTGTCTTTTCTCCACTTATCAACTAACCTACCAATTTACTGTGGTGACCCAATTCCTGGGATTGAGAGAAAGAGCAGGGTGATTGTGACATTCACCCGCCACAACAGAATTCATGGGACAATGTTTGCCAAATCTGGCTCCTCCAGCCACAGCAAGCTCCTGCAGTTTCCAAAATAAACCACTAAGTCACAAGGTTGCCTTTATTAGCTTCCCTGGGAGAGGGTGGGGTGAACTCCTCCAGATAGTCCCAAAGAAATTGAGACTTCAAGTGTGTGTATGTGTGCTCCTAAATAGCCTCATGAAGGCCAAAGAGTCTCCAAGAGACTGTCAGCAGGGCTTTTGGCAAAGGGCTCAGAGACAGCTACATAAACTCCCTCCCTGTGAAATAGGATATACGGCCTCAGAAGAAAAGGATGTCTTAAGAAGTCACGCCTCCTGTCATTTTATGCAAGGTGATGGTTCAAAATAGAGCCTCCTCCAAAACTTGAGAGGCTCAACTTGATGTCCACTGTGTTGGCACAAGCAACAGCACAGCGGCAACCAAGCTGTGTCTTTAACAAGATGGAAATCAAAAGGAAAATAGGAATAAACAAACATTTAAAAATTAACATGTAAGCTGCCTTTGAATGGCTAGGTGTTACTACTTTTAACCTTAAAAACTGTAAGAGATTTTAAATGCTTATAAAAAAAGACAGAAAAAAAAGGCACATCTCTGCTGAGAAAGTTTTCAGAAATGCAAAATATCCTGCAAAGCAGGCCAGTGACTAAATACAGACTAAATCTTGTAGCACACTTCTTTCTAGAGCCCAAAATACATTTGGCATGCTCAGACATGCTGAGTTATGCCCTTCATCACCTAATGTAACCCAAGAGCCTGTGGTATCTCGTGTTGTTACTGGGATGAAAAAGAAACTGGAAAAAGTACCATGCAGTAAGGAATGGCAGGTGATCTACCCCATAGGCGACACCTGGAAGTCACCAGCCTGTGTGTCTCCTGTTCTCACTTATATTTCATCAACGTGCCTTTATGCAACCCAAATGCAATTCATCCTGACCTGCTGGATGCTGGGAGATCCTCCCATTTGCCTCTGGGACTGATACCACCTCTTCAATCAGGTGTGTTATGCTACCACAGAAGACTCTGAATGGAAAAAATAAATTTTCCTACTTAGGCTTTGGAAAACTCTTCCTGAACCAGGCCACTCTGCTCTTCCATGCTGCAAACTCACTTGGGCATTAGCAGGGCAGAGGAATTGTGTTAGGACCAGGGAGCTGCAGAACCTGAAGTTGGAGCATGCATCTCTGATGGCTGTTAGAGTGGAAAGAAATGTGTAGAGATGACATTTCAAGTTGTAAGAAGTTAATTCTGAATTAAGACAAGTTTTTTAGCTTACAGAGTTTTCTTACGGACAATAGTCAGTGTACCATACTTACGAGGTCTGAGTTGAAGCCTTTTAAGTGGACTTAGAAAATTGCATCTCAATGAGAAAAAATTGATTTTTGGAAATGCTAAGCATGTCCCTCTGCCTCACTGGCAGATAATCCAGACACCCCCCTCAGACTGTATTTTGTTGTTAACTAAAAAGCTTGTTATAGCTCTGTCAACACAGAGTGCTATTTCTTCCCTAAGGGAGAGATGAGAACAAAATCTAGGTAAAAAAGCACCTCTATTCATGCACAATGACAAGCGACTCCTCCGGAAAAAGTTAGGATCTCATGGTAATTATAACATCATTTTAGGACATGTTTATATATGGACATTTCTAAGACATGTCTCCTGGAAACTATTCACAGTACACTACTAAGCCTAGACAAGTTTTAGTGAAAAAAAATAAACTAAATTTGAAAATCAGAGATGTCAGGGTTTGGGGATTTTTGTTTTTGCTGAACAAATTGCTGCTAAAGAGAACAGGAATGAATGGATAAAGAAAAGCTCAGGATTACATTCAAATTCTAGAGAAGCAATCAGAGTGCATTACCCACCAGCAATCCAACTGTGTGACATAAAGGAACAAACAGAGCTCCCATAAATGTCCTTTAATCTTCTCTTCACTGAAAATCAGGGAAGAACCTACAGCAGCTGTGAAACGCTGGAAGGTATGCAGCTCATACCATATATAAATCATGCTGTATGCAGCTCTCCTACTCTCAGAAGTTGCCCATAGTGCAGCTGAAAATTTTCTTCTATTCTGGATGGGACAGAGATTCTGTGATGTCCCAGTTTTAACTAATTTGTTGTTGCTCAAGTATGAACAAAAATCAAAAGATTGTAGTGTAGCAGTTCCCAAAATAATTTTTATGACTACTCTGCTTTGCATTATGGCAAGGCAGACAAGGGAGAACAATTTCTTTTCCTCTGCTGTACTGAAAACAGTAGACGTTTCATGATTGACAAAGGCACTGAATTTGTACTGACAGGCAGGTTCACTTCTAGTTACCAGTGGCGGAAAAGTCTGTCTAAAATGCTTACCAGACAGCAGCTTCTGGGAGGTTAGTCCATATCCTCTCTCTTTCTGTATGTTGCTTTTTATAAAAAACCGATCTGTCAGGTTCCCACCTATGTGTATAAACTCAGGCCAGATGTGGCATTCCAGTCTATGGGTACTAAACACAGCACTGCATAGAAACCAAGTCTCATTTATAACCAGAGCTACTCATATCATTCATATCAATAGTCCTTATCATTTCCAGTTCATGTTCTGCCCACAAGGCTCACAAATTATTTACTTTAAATTACTAGTGCTACATTCATGATATGAATGGTGGTATTGAATCAAGTGGTTCAAGGCTGAGAACATCCCTATATGGCTCTAAATTACATGCACAGGACTTGTCACAAGGCCAAATATTATGCAAGTTTAATGTTCCAGTATACTAAAAGCATTCTGGACTTACTATTAAAAAAATCAATTACCACATCAGCCGAAGCAGGTTTTGTATAAATCAGTTCCTATTTTAACACATTCACAATGTGTTTAAGCATACTTCATACTACTACTTGATATGGAAACAAGACTGAAGTTGATAGTTTTCCAAGGATTCCCATCCAGTTTAACATTGCAGAGAGGGACTGTCACTGTCAGCTCCCAAAACTTCCAGAGGATGCTTCTTCTTCTTAGCCCCTATCAACCTTTTGTTCCCACCACTGAAAGGTCAAAAATGGATATAAAATATCTAGCATGATATTTTGTTGCTGAAAACATTCACTAAAAACACAGACAGCAGTCACTTTAAGCAATTCTACAAACAAGTAAGAAAGGTGAAATACCAACGAGATCTCATGCATTTGCTGATAATAACTTTTTCTCTAACTAAAGGACAATTTTATCCTTCAGTGACTGAACAAAATCTTTTTAACAATCAAGTAGTTTTTATGACTCAATACTAAAGATTTTCAAGATCCATTCAGAGAAAACAAGTGTTCATGGTTACAGAAAACATGTTTTATAAAAGAAAAACATGCAGAAAAGTCTTTAAAACTCACCCAGTATTTAAAAGTTGTTTCAAGAGAAAAAGGAGCTAAGTTCTTCTACCAACCTTCTCTCCTGATTGGAAATACAGGTTGAAGTCTAAAATAGACATCCTATCATTAAGCACAGTCATATCTGAACATGCAAACTTTCAGAGGGTAGAAAGAGTGCTATAACTTACACCAGGCAGTCCGGGGATAAAATTCACTCCGGCACAGGAGAGCACACAAGACAACACTGAGAAGCATCAATGCGAGTCCTGATTCTTATTCTGTAGGTGAAAATCTGCCTCCTCTTAAGCAAAGAATTCTGCTGGGGGTGGGCACTGATAAAACACAACACTGCGTCACGACTGCACCAGAGAGACAAACCAATCCAATGAAGCTCGCATTAAAAGCAACAAAACGTTCCCTCCCCCTCCCCCCCCCAGGCATAGACAAGAAAGGAAATCTCATTTTTGACTGTCAGCTGGGTGTTTTGGTGAGATCAGGTAATCTCTAAAGAGTCACAGATCTTCTATTTGCAAGCACACTTAAATGCACTTTTAATTCAAGTGCACGTGACAGTAGGGTACGTACATCCAATTTGGGAATGATGTTGCATGCTTGCTACTTTATCCATTTCAGTAGAGGTCCCACAGGCTACACAGACTGTGGAAAGTTAAAGATGTGCACAAGTTTTGACTGGATCAATGCCTAAACAAACAACTTTCAACAGTTCAGCCCAAATTACCCAATCCAGATTCCTTCAGCTGCTTTCCTTTAAGTGGGAAACATTTTTGCACATAAGTGAAGGCAAAATTAATGTTTGCCTAAAAGTACCCGGTTTAGCTTTATATAAAATATTTGCTTTAAGCCTATATAATGCAATGCAATTAAGCTATCATATTCAGCAAAAACAAGTTTAAATCAAAACTGCATTGTCACAATTAAAAATCTGACAAAAATTTATTTGGACACATTTATAGTTTATAAATTTATCTGTTAGATTTTACTCAATTCTGAGTCACTAAAACATGTGTAATGATATTCCAGCTTAATAAAATTAAATCTGTAAATTTTCTGCATCCTGAACATTTGAGAAAAAAATCAATTCAGATTTGTAAACACAGTCTTGGAAACATAATCCTTTCCTCATCTATTTTTGAAGTTTGAATAAAGGATATTTCCTAACAAGAAATCAAAATTTTCTGAATTGGTTAAATTCAGCTGCACATCTGCAGGGGTTATTTGGTAAAACTGAAAAGTATTTTACATTTCTTAAGAAACCCATGTGGATTAGCAAGCCTACATCACCTTCTAAAAAGAATTAGGGCAAAACTCCAACTAGAAATGTACAATGAAGAAATTACATTAAAATTCCACTCCCCCCCCCAAAAAAAAAAATTATATCTATTGGGCCATAATTATTTTTAAGAAATGTTGATTCTTTATTTAAGGTCGATACCCAACTATAATTAAATCTATGATATAGCTGCTACCTTTATGAAAAGCTACATCTCTTAAGTCTAGTTGTGATATCTTTCCTTTGCTTCTGTAATAGCTGGCAAACAGGCTTCCAGTTTTTAGAAAACTGAGAGGCTAAAACTTTCACAGTAGCTTTCCCTTGTGGACAGAAGCAACATATTTTAACAACAAGTACATTAATTCTTTCCTGCAGATTATATATCTTAATACCTTTATTTATTTATTTATTTGTTTGTTTTTAACAAGTAGCATCAATCAATTCAACTATAATTGTAAACATTAAGTCAGCCTGTATTTATAGATCTGGATTCCAAAGTTTTAAGAAAGTGAATAAACAAGCACAGAAACTTCTTGTAACACTTGTTTAACTTTATAAAGTAAAAAAACAAAACAAAACAAAACTATATATATATAACTTCATATTCTCTTTATAGCTGATGTCTGCCTCTAACCCAAAGCGTCCCAGTAAGCATTAAATCCATCCTACTTCTCCATAAAGGTCCATTCCCCCAGCTTAGAGTAACCATCACCAGCATGCAGGTAAAAACACTGCTGACAGGATATGTTATTTGAGAGGCATCTATTTCAATTTCAAACCCTAGAAGCTGCCAGCCTGACCTGTGGGAAGCATCTCAGACCCAGGAGAGCTACAAACTGGAACCAGTTTGAGTGCTGCTTCCCATGAGCCAGCCTGGCCACAACGGTGGTTTCTTGTTGACCTAAGTGTCAGAGCTCAGTCTACACGCAAAGCAAAGGATATAATAAACAGCACAGAGAAAAGGAAATATCTTCAAAGTTTTTGTTCTGCTAAATCAGCATTGTGGACTTCAGGCATGGGAAAATTCAAGCCAAGATAGGTTGACCATTAAAAATAGTTATAATTTGGGACACCACTAAAGAAGCAAGCAACGGAAAATTTATAAGACCACAGAAAAAAATTATGAGGATCAGTTTTTGGAAATGGCAGCACCAGTTTGGTTCCCATCAAATCAAATATTTGTAGAAATTATAAATTACAATTTTGATCAGATATCATAATTTGGTTTTAATTGTAATTTATTTTGGTAAATCCACAATGGATAGATCCTTGTTTCATTCAACAAACTCATGCTAGGCAGATTTATATTCAGGCTTAAATAATGTAATAGGAAAATCCTGTTTAAATATTTAATTTTAAACCCCCTTTGTTTTGCATTTCTGCATCAGCTATTTTCTGAAAGACACCCATGTTCTCATTTCCCAGTGACCACTAAAACAAAGTTAATTTTGCAACTTAGTGTAACTTTTATACCAAATGTAATTGGACTTTTTTGCCATTCAGGTTGGAAGGCTACATATGTAAATGATTATTCATATTTTAAAACACATACATTTTGAGTAGAAAATAATGGGGAATGGGTATAATTTTCTAACATAAAACCCTGTAAGAATAGGAACCTGAATGCCTGTAAAATACATTTAGTCAGTCCATTTAGGAACAGAAATACAATAACAGCATCCAAAAGCTGCAAGATGTTGTTCCAGTTACATTATGCCAGCTTAAACAAGGTTACTGACCAACCACAGGAGCTTCTGGGCTCTCAGGTACCTGCTGGTACTATAAAACTGGGAGCCATAAGCACCTGGAACTGAAGACCCTGACCCTGTCTGCGAACCCTTATTCCCCCTCAATCTATAAACAAAATAAAATTAATGCGGAGAAATGAAAATGGGTGACAGATGGCAGCCCGTCGTACCTCAAAGAAATCCAGCTCTTGTAACACCCTCTTCTTTCCAGTATTGAAGGCCCCCACGACCATCTCCACCATGGGGAGCTTGAAGCAGGACACCACAGGCTAATCATTACCTGGATATCAGCCCTGACATCCTTGAGACTAACAGAGATTTAACACTGCTCTACCAAACACAGCACCTCTTCTTGGTGCTCTGGTAGTTCTATTATGCTTATTGGATATCAACAAAGTGCCTGCTCTGCAGAGAGCTGCAAACAGAGTTGAAGTTAAAAAAAGCCAAGAGAAGCACATCTGCTTTTGCATGTTGGATAGGAAGCTCCAAAACATTCTATCAGGATAATCTCCAAAAGAGATGCATCCATGTTTCACTGAAAAAAAAAAAATTCAGGGACTCTCTGGAAAGTTTAATGCAGTAGACATAAAAATTAAGAAGTCATTTAGCATTCAGGGATGCTAAATGCAACTGCTCTGCTCTAAGGAATCGAACCCCTTAGATGGGCTTTCTTGATGGTTCTGAACTCTGTCACCCTGTCATCCAAATTTTTTTTTTATCCAGTGAGCTTGCAGGCTCTCAAAGAGGACATCCCACCCCAGTTAAGGGACTTCCACTCCCAGTGGTCGAGGTGAATTAGCTGTGCTTGCACAGGCATGCATGGAGAGCTGCCATGTTACAGCATGTGACTCTGCTTGAGATCACACTTGTCTACTGAGTGAGCCAGCCCTGGGAAATGAAAGGGGGGAACCCACAAGTGGAATTGCTGGAGGCCAAGGCTGGCGCAGAGGATGACACAGGCTCCGGGCACTGTGTGGCCTGGGAGAGCCATGCTGACTCCAATCCCTACCACAGCACAAGCCCATGTCAAGCCAGGAGGAGTTCAAAGGCAGCAAAGCAATTGTGAAGGAGCAAGGTTTTGGCCAGCAGAGAACTGGATTCATCGCCTGTGATTCCAGCCAATTGACCAGAAACTAGAGCATACCCAGGTCCATACTAAGACCAAGGAAAAGGGTGAGCTGCTGTTCTGAGCCACCCTGAGCCTAATCTTCCCCTCCCTAGACCCATATCCAAATAAACCAATCAGCATGGGCACAGTACTGTAAAATCCCTGGCTACTGCTGACAAGTCAAGGAGCATTATCCTGAAATACTAACGGACTTGTACTGACTTTACACAGAACATAAAAACTGCCCATGAAACACTCCTGTGGCAATCCAAAAATATGCATTTTGCAAATTCAGAGGCTTATGCAAAGATGCCCTTGGTGAAAAGCCAGAGTGTGGTTGCCAAAAGTCAACAATGCAAATTTTTCAGATAAAGGAAACCTGACACGTCCAGCCTCAGATTGCCTGCCATTTCCATTTCAGTTTGGGTTTCAGAGAACAATCACTGTGGAGGCTTCTGTTTGAACCAGAAGAGATGGCTGGAGCTCCCTTGAGCCCAGCAACTCCCTCTCTTCAAACAGAGCTGGAGTAAGTGAGTAGCTACCAACATGCCAAACCACACCGGCTGGCTCTCACTGCCAATCTCCAAAATCGGTGTGGCCTACAGGACAGAAGACCAAGCACTGCTGAAATTAGTTAGCTGAATTAAAAGGAGGAAGGGACCAAGGGTATAACGAAATGGAGGAGGGACAACGACACTCACAGAGGTGTCAGAGATTATGGGGGGTAAATGGAAGTAGATGAGGCCAGTACACTCTGGCAATGGAAATTTTGCTGGGTTTTTTTTTTTTCCCTACGAACTTTACAGTAATAGAGATATAAAGGAGGAAACAGCAATGAAAGCTGTGACCTTGGCTTCACAGGAATAGGAGCCAAATATTACACCAGGAGGCTGCCTGGCAACCATGCAAAGCATGACATCTGCCACGTAACAGGCTTTTCCCCCTCAAAGTTCAGTAGCAGCTGATCTCTGTTCTTGAGTCCATGTAATAGTCTACATCTGTGTCCTGCAGCCTTTGCTGCTAGAGGCATGAGGAACATGATGGTGAAACAAATACCTTGAGTTCCACCTATCAGGCAGCATTAACATCCTGGTAGCTTCACCGTAGGTTGACAATACTACTGAAACAAAGAAGTGGGCAACAGACTTGTCACATGGGCTAGATATTGAATCACTGTCATTGCAACATGCCAAAGAGTGTCCCAAAGCTGGGTTCTTGGCTTAGCAAACACCTCAAGAGGACTTCCTAAGGGTGTGTGGTCATATGAAGCAGATCGAGAAAAGTTAGGCTTTATCTCTCATTGAAGGCTGGGGAGCAAACCCAGTGGGTCCAGTGCCAATGTCCAGGTGGAGCACAAAGAGTCTTGCTAAAGGTTTGGGCAAGATAACAGGACACATGGACTGACAAGCATATTCATCTTCCAAAAGAGTTTGAACAAATAAAAATTTCTCTGCTTGATATATAGGCTGTAGGGAAGAAGAAGTTATTAGGCAGCAGAATGTATTTGAGTACTTGGCACCAGCAAACAGCAGTGGCTACTGTGTCTCATCCTCAGGAAAAGGTGTTCCTAGCTAAGCCACAATGATGACAGTGATGCATTTCAGCAGCCCGATGGCTGCCCACAGGAGAAAAGACAGAATGGATACTGCTGAGAGGTCAGGAATTGCAAAGGGGACTCCATGAAGAAAGAGGGCTCCCCTCTTCCCTGCCTTCTGGTGTGAGAATCAGAGATAGTCATGCCAGGATCCTGCTATGCCCACCATGGCTCAAGCTGGGACTTTTCTAGACTATGCATCTCCCTCGAAGAAAACGACTAACCCAACAATGGGAGTGGCATAGCACTGACTCAGACCTCTCCACTCCACACAAGCACTGTGAGAAGAGCCACACTACTCCAAGGAAGGGTGCAAATTCCAGAATTAGCTCAAAAAATCAAGCAGAAGAGGAGAAAATAACCCCCAAAAATAAATCAAATTAAGTCTATGGCAGCCATGCATGACAATCACACCATGTCAAGAGTCCTCTGAAATACAGAAGAACATATGCAGAGTACATTTCTTGCAAGACCTGGAAGGGACCAAGGTCTACCTCTGTCATACTGATAAAGAAAATTTACCCACTGTTATCAAAAAAACAAATGAGCTAGTAGATAATCATATAAATAAAGAACACTGACTACACAGGCAAAAAGAATATAAAGTATTTTTTTCCTTTAAGGAAGTAATCAAGGAATCTATAATTAATAAAAAATGGTTTCTAGTCACCAAGACCTTCAGAAGTCATATAATTTCTTCTTCCATCTNTAATAAAATTTATAAGAGAATAAAGAGTTTTAAGTATGGATAACCAAGCTGATGGGTTTTTTTTTCCCTCGAAATCTACAAAACGTGTATGAGAACTGCAGTGGTTTTAGAAGAAGGGATGAAGTATTGCTCTAAGAAAGCAAAATATTCAGATTAAAAAAGGGGAAAATTAATTATGCCATTTCTTCAACTATCAATCAGTTTCTCCACTTTGAATTAAGTAGATATTTAATTCAATCAAATTAATAAAACTATGTGAGGAAAAGAGTTGCTCTGAAACAGTGGAATACATTACTCCCAAAATGGGCTTAATATTTCAATCAACATCGTCTTTAAGCCTTTAACCAAATATCTTTCACAATTTGATTTTTTCTTTAAAACTTCAGCAGACATGAAGATATCTTAATCACTTAATACTAATAACTAAATAGATTATAATAAATTTGGGCTATATTACAAGTTTGTTTCTTTCAAATCCGAAGTACTATGGTTTTACAAGAAAAATAATCCTTTTCAGTTTTAAAAATTTCTCAATTAAGCAACAAGTACTTTCCATTCTCTTAAGTAATCCAGAACCTGGACTATATTATTCACTAATGTACTTTCCATCTGGAATATGCTGATGCACTAATCAAATGTGAAATTTAGGGGTGCAGAAGACCACTCTCTATCTACTTTAAAACACTAATATCAATTAAAGAAAAATCTATCTAAAATTTGTAAAAAATTACTGATCCACTGGCTACTCTAATCCTGGGATTCTATTTTGACTGAGATTCTCTACGGTATATTCAGAAAACAGAGTAATTGCACAAACTCAAATGCACAGTTCTCCATCAAGAAAATCTTCCACAAGAACATGCAGGAACCCACACTGAGTGTGCCTCATGGGCAAACACCATGAAAGGAGTAATGCTGGGAGAAACACAAAGGTACAGGTAACATGAAGAAAACAAATGTGCAGATTTACTTGTTCCAGTCAACAACAGTAGCTAAAGTTTATTGATTTCAGTTTCAGCAGCTAAAAATCCATTAAAACATTCTTATACGATACAGACAATACTACCCCATATTCAAATTTCTATTAAAGTAATAAAATAGGCTAGAATTTTCTCACAGTCATTGCAATTCACTTATCAATTAGTACAATAAAACCTATTTAAAAATGTAAATATTATAAAGTGCAAATAGCTTTTGTATCTCATTGTGATGTAGCAGTTCAATTATATGGATATATCTAAGTAAAGAGACTGAAAAAATATAACTGTTAGCTACAAAACATTCTCAGCCACTGTCTCTCAACTGTTCCCTTTATATCCACTGTAAAACTATTTCCAACACACTAATCACATCTATTTGGAAGAAACTAAAATTACATGATTTCAAACTATTTTCATTAAAAAACCATCCTTTAACAACTGCTTTTACTCTTCCATCTAATTATATACTCTTAAAGGCCAAATAGACAGTATACAAAAATAACCATAGCCTTTTATTAAGGATAAGACACCAGATAGGAGTTCATAAGAAAAATAAAGATGTTCTTTGCCTACCCCTACCAGTAATACTTTTCAATACAGGAAAATACATTTACTTTTAAATTTTAAATACATATACGTCAAAGTCTTAATAACTTTGTATCAGAGACTTACTACAATCAAGTCTGTTCACAGTATTGTTAATTTGTTGGAGTGCGTGGCTAGTATTTCTTTCAAGATAGTTTTTTGAACAGCTTGACTGTTCCATGAAGTATCTCTCCAAAAAGTTCTCTTCTAACTCAATACTAAGTAATCTGCCCTTTTAACCCCACAACTCTGGCAAGAAATCTTATCTAGAACATTTTGCTGAACAACAGGCAGATAGAAAACATAAAATTGATTAATATTTGATTCTGACATCTGTCTAAGGTCACCATAAGAACAATATATTATAAAGTTACTCAAATTAGAGGGCTAGCCTATTTTTTTTCATTTACCTATGCACCAGTTGTCATACTTCCTTATGCAAAGGCTATTTATTAAATGTAAGCAAAACCTCTAACTTCCTATTTTGTAATGGTCTGAGCTTTTCCATATTCAATGTATGTTTCAACAAAAAAAAAATCCCAAATTGATTTCAAGTACAAAGCAGCAACTATCTCATCCACAAATAAAAACTACAGTAATGTTCTGCTCTTCCTAAAACAAGCTTGAAGCCATGATTATATTAAAGACACAGATGTGAGGGAATTTCTCAGCTTCCAAATAGACATGCAAACAAAGTATTACAGTTCAGGGGTGCAGGTAAATGAATAAGCAAGAAAACTACATGACGTTTGTGGAGCGTCCTCTCAAATCCTGCAATCCCTTCTAGAAAGTCTGGGTCTACATCTCCCTCTTCTTTACTCATGTTCTTCTCACATGGCTTGGTCTCAGAAACTTTCCATGCCTGTAACGGAAACTTGAGCCAACTTCTTAAATGTATGATTTCTTCATCTCCACTCATCATCCACTTCTGTTTCTGAGAAGCTCCTCATCATGACACCTGTATCTCAAGAAGCAAAACAGGAAACATCACAGGGATGAAGCAATGAAAGATGAATAATAATATGCCTCTGTGTCTTTAATAAAATCCCAACTTTCATTCAAGTTCCTTTTAGGAAATCAGAGTTCCTTTCACAAGTGCAAAGCTTAGAAACCTAGTCTGGCAAAAAATGGCATGCCAAAAATGGGGTAACTAATGCAATCTCCCAATCTGCACCTCTGATCCTGACATGACGAGCAGGAGAAATCCTGTACCAGCTAGCCATACATACTTTGGAAAATATTAATCGGTGCCAAGCTTGCAGAACTAGTCTGCGGCAGCCAGCTCAACTAAAAGAAACTGCTGACCAATCTGCTGACCTACCCGCTACTGAAAACAATGCCAGTCATCTTTACCCAGGACTCATTTGTCCAAGTAGAGCTCTAGCCCACAAGTTAGATGAAAAACAAAGATGTAAGTAAGCCTCTCCTCTACTTCTCCCATTGCTCCTTAATCTACACAAGTTCCACAACACAGAGTTCGTGGGTTTTTACACTTTTCAGGTACAAGAGAAGACAAAGCTTTCTCTGCATTACAGCAGCTTAACTACAAGGTGACAAAGGCCTAAAGTATTTTCAACCTGTCATAAGATTTGGTGTTGGGGTGGAGGGCACTGGCCTATCTGTTTCTGCCATGCAAAATGGGATCAAGCAGGCCCAAAGCCAACAGCAGAACTGTTTAAAAACAGCAAAGGGATGACTCATCTGCAAAATGGAGACACAGTCGTCTTATGTCCAAAGATACAGCTTAAACCATCTGCCTGCCTTACAGTTTTGCCTGAATGCTGAATGAGAGGGTACAGGAGAATTATTTCTGCAGCCTCCCAGCCATGAAGCCTTCAGGGCAGATAAGCAGGCACCAAAACCATTCTGCCAGCCAGCTCTCAGCAAAATAGAAGCATTAAACCAATTTTATCTCTCCCTTTTAGGGTTAAGGCCACCTTTAAATAAACATTAGCATCAAAACCTCTTCGTACCAGAAGCAGAGCAGACCCTACATCTTATCAGCTACCACCTAAATTTCTCAGAATTCCACATCCCATCTAAAATCCTTATTTATTCTGAAAAAACACTTGACAGCATGATCCACATGCATGAATTAGAAAGATAGTGTAGTCCTTCCCCAACTCTTCCCTGTGAAACAGGGCTCATTTTGGCTTTCTTACAGCAGAAATAAGGGACAGCTATAAGGATAGAGCACAATGTTTTGGCTTTGCTTCTTGCACATCACAGCTGAGAAGATAACTGAGCCTTAGACAGTCAAAGCAAGAAGGCCTCTGAGAGTGTTCTGGGTATTGCAGAGAAACCTGCTTTTAAGTAACTGGACACAAATACATTTGCTGTGCTGGGATTACATGTTGAAGAAAAATACATATTCCCCCAGTTCTGAACTCTTGATTAAGTCCTGACCCTCAAAAGTACTTAGGAAGCAGCAGACAGTCCTGAAAGCTCATGCCTCAGTGATCATGCCTGCTACTGAGATATGCTACTGCCTACTCAGGAAAGGTAACTATCACAGATTTCAAGAGCTTAAAAGCTTTCAAAAGCAGTAAAGCTGAGGAAGCTACAAATGTCCAGATGTCAGGATATCCAGAATTATTTTATAATATATATACCATCCAATTATTTTACACCACAGTGATTCTTAATCTTTTATCATGATGATCACTGTATACAAGAAACACAAACTATAATTTTACTGTTCCATAGTCATCATAACTCCACATTCTCTCTAAGCAGCAGAAATTAAGTAAGGACAAGTCATTCAGTCTGTTCTCTGTTCTCAAGAGAACTGCAGAAAAAGGTTAATAATTGTCAAAAAGATCTGATGCTGGCTGCCACCTGAAGCAACCGAGGAATTTTTAGTTTTCTTTTGAAGAGACAATTTACTGGCAGGCTGGTACTTCTAACTTTGATCTTCCTTCCTTCCAACACCAGCAGAAGCTCAGTAACAGAAGTCCTGAAGCTTTGTAGCTCAGTGACAAAACACAGAAACTTCCCAGAATGTTAACTCAATTACAGTGTTTTGGCAAGGAAGCCTTCCCCTTATACCTTGGGGAAAATCTTAAAAGATTAAACAGTGCGTGTTTTAAAAGTACACACGCCTCAATTATTTGGTGTAACTCTTCATACACCTAATTGCTTTGAGAGAAAAATATTCTACAGTGACTTGCTTGCAAGACTGAAAATGTTCCTTGTTTCCCAAAGAAACAATAGTTACACAATCATACTGATTGTTCCATGCATAGAAATGTAAACTATAAGGCAAATTTCAACCTAATCTCATGCAAAAGCACAGAGATTTCAGAGATGCTCAATTCCTACAGCAGACTTGCAAAGTAAGCAACCAAGGCAGCCCTCTGAGCAACACGTCTGGTTCTCAAACATCATGGAGACAGCATGTTTTGATTAAATATACCCAAGAACTAACGACAAGGCAGTGAGAAGCTGCTCTCGGCACTCTGCTGTTGGGAAAATCAGGGATGGTGACAGCACTGGTGTGTAATGAAAAGAGAGAAAGATGGAAAGATGTGTAAAGTACTGAAATGCCACCAAAACCAAGAAATCTGCAGGGAAGTCCTATCTTCACTAGTTCAGCTGCTCACAAAGCTACCTTTGAATCTATGGAGCAACAGAGCAATGCCTTATGAGCCTATCACATCTTCCATCTCTATGTGGGCTGCTGCTGACAATTCTCAGGATTCATTAAAGGCACTTGGACAACAGCTGTCTTGTTTCATCAGTGAGAATCTGGAAAGCAGACGTACGGGTGCACAGCAGCACAGGTGGCCTCTAAGAACCCTAGAAACACTAAAAAATATGCTTCTCAAACCCTTTCAACAAGATCATACCCAGGTAGGGTAAGCAAAGCCCTAGCACAACAGGTCAGATTGCTGGTCCATTTGTTTGAGAATCCTGCCTCCTGTGATCAGGACTAGATGCTTCAGAAGGTGGAACAGCTCAGGTAGTGAACAATGATGTAATTCCCCCAAAAGGGAAATTCTTTCCTGACCTCATCAATTAGCATGAAGGTTTATGTACTTAATTTATTTTTAATCCTATTTACAGCAACTCTGGACATTGTCATTATATATATAAATGCCCAAGTCTGCTTGGAATCCAACTAAACTTTTGCCCTTGGTAATATCGTGTGGTGTATTTATGCCTAATGTCATTTAAATATCCCTTTGTTCTTGCACTATGGGAAATAGCATAGCCATTAACCACCTCTGTTCCCTTTCCAAGAGCTCCAGCCTGCCTTGCACCATAAATTTGCATGCCACACTATGCCCTGTGACAGGACAGGAGCACACAATCTGAGGATCTTCTAGCCAGCAACTGAGCAACTTCTATCAGATATCTAGCAACATTTCTTTAAGCTACATTTCTGGGATCTGGATGAAAGCTGGGAGTTTCACCAAAATTTCATTAGGCCCTACCCTCTTCTAGATCTTGCAAGCTCACTTTTTTGATGTTTTCCACTACAGAGCTGCCACTTTTATAAGCAAGATGTTTTGCTCTATGCTGTGCACTTTGAACCACCCCTTCAAGATTCTGATAAATTTACTTAGAACAGACAATAAGCATACTATGCTCAGCTTTTTAAGGGCTGTATAAGAATCTCTCAGCAAAGAACTGCCCTCTCATCTCCATGCCTGAATAAAGAGCAACAGGACCCAACCATGCAACACCAATACCATTTTCTTCTTAGCTGATGTTCTTGTGGGCCGCAGGCTCCCCTGTGCATAAGCCTACGTCACTACTTTTGTTCCTTATGGATGAGCTCATGGCACGTTCATCACGACTATTACACCAAGTACTTATTAAAGCTCCAGAGCTCTCTGCTGTTTCTGCTCATACAACGTCTGCAACATGCATCAAGGTATAAAACCACATCTTCATTCAACAAAAGCTTGGTGGGCAAAAAAAAATATATATGCAAGCAGCAGTCAATAAAGGGAGACTCTTAAAGCACACTTGACGTTCTGGATCCTCTTGTCTTCCTGAAACACAGCCCTGCTTTCAGTCATTACTTGGGCTGCATTTTCCTCTCCAAGCCTTTGAAGCTAAAACTTTGGACTCCAGGCCCCAGGTTCTCAGTGTGAAAGTCTTCAGGAAAGAAAGAGAGAAAGGCTGGTATCTCATGGGAAGATGGCCTCCCAAGGAGATGACAGAGTTTTTACAGCATTTGTGAGAAATACCACATAGTCATCACTGTTTTACCACAAATGCTGTGATTACAGGCTTGGAACTGGTGAGTTATGGTAAGAGAATACTTCTTTGCCTCAACCAAAATGAAAATTGCACTCTTTCATCTCTCTTTGGAACAATCTTCAGGCAAGCAAGAGGGTGAGAGAAAAAGCCTGTTGCAGCTTATGGTCCAAAAACAAACAGAGTTCTTTAATAATCAAAATAGCACTAACAGAGCTGGTAACAGGCATCACTTTGACAACAGCTACCTCATTAAATAATCCAAACACATGCAACTTTTTTGTCTATTTAGTGACAGGTCTCAAAACGGCACCAAAATTGTCGTTTTGCATATTTCTCAAGGACCTCTCCATGCTGTTTAATAGCTACAGCGGTCTTAGAAACTGTTTCAGAGCAAGGATCTTGACACTTTCTTTCCAAGCGGCAATAAATGCTTTCCTGCTCCTCAGTCTCACACGTCTAAGAGGAATATACTGAGCTGGGTACTTGTACAATGCTCTTAGGCAATGTTCAAGGAGTGGTCCAAGCCACAAGGTTCAGAGCACTGCCATACCAGCACCGCCAGAACCTCTGATCAGCCAGCAAGTGGTTTGCTTTCGGCCTTCCAGAATGTGCTGAGGTTGAAAGGGAAGACAATAATGATATAGAACAATTCTCCCATCAGCAGTGGCAAAAGTAATCTCGGAGGCACAGAGTGCAATGCTTTCACCACTTTGGGGTCATTACTGGCTATGAAGTCAAAAAGAAGTGACATTTTCTGTTTGTCACACACAGAAACAGACTTTGGGTAAGGAGACTTTTAACGGACACAACTAAGGTATTTTTGGTAGATAGAATTCTCAATCTGTTGTGATAAAATTAGCTTTAAGTAAATGCACAATACAAGCAGTACATACTTTGCCTAAGAAAAAACCTGATGGCCACTTACAGATCATGTGAACTCAGTTATTTAGTTGAGCTAAAAACATCAATTATTCCTTATCTGACTGTAGATTTGGATCTGTTTAACAACAGCACTGCCACATATCAAAACACATGACAACCCACAGCTCTTTACTAAAGCAAGGAAAAGTTCCTTGCAAACAATGATTCCTGCCATTTAACAACACAGTCATGAAGAGGTAAACCTGCACCTCTGCCTCTAACCTTCTGACCTTTCCCTGAAAAGAAAAAGCAACTCTTCCTCTTCTGTCAGTCTACCCATCCTTCCATATTACAGCAGAAAGAAATGGGTTGCCTTCAACTACCACTCCTTGATGTCCACCAGGCAAAGCTATGGAAGATGATAATCTCACTTTTCTCTCCCAGCAAGCTTTCCATCAACCATAAAAAGTTCTGCTGTGTTCTTTCAACCAATGTCACAGAACCTGGCTCTGTACTGCTTATCACCATGATCCAAGCAACAGCAAAATAGTCATTCAAACATACCTAGTGCTCGGTGCTGGGTAAAGTTCACAGCAGCTGTTTGAGTCCCAGAAAGACATCTGAGAGAAGCACCATAAATAACGACATCACATGGAGTATCCCATTGCACAACCCACATACATCTTTCCTGCTCAGGAATTTACACCTTGCACCCTACGCTGTCAGTCAAGAGCATATTATAAACCATGTTTCCAAGATGATCCACAGGACATTTTGGAAAGTAATAAAGCCCTCCTGTTGGCTGATTCTTTTCAAAATACCTGTTCTACTCCATTACAAAAATTACAAATGTTTCTATTAGTTTATCAAAACCATGGTCTTTCTCAGGAGCAAGCTGTAGATCCACGTGTGCATTTTATACATCATGGATATCCAAAACCAGTTCCAGCCGAGTCTGACAGCCTGGCAGAAACTGAAGGGGACTACTCCTTCTCAGACTCAGGATCTAAGTTCTTCTTCAGACATGCAAATGTATTTTCTCAGAGTACAGTTTCAGTCCCAAATTTGAACAGCCCCTTTTGAAGATTAATTCATTTTACTGCTAGATTAAAATTAAATCAAATTCTCTTAAAACATCTCATTCCTAGGCATCTGTGAGGGGAGAATCACTTTTCAAAGCCGTGCCTAGATATAACTGAGAAACAAGATATACAGCTATTTTATAAAAATGAGGGCTTTTTCCTGGAGTTTTGCCACAAATTGCCTTTGAGGGCTTGGTTCAGAAATTCCAAAGTTAGTTTATTGTTTTTCATATTGAGCACTAATTCCTTTTAGCAATTCTGTTAATCTTGGAATTTGAAGTTATTTTTATTAAAGTAACACCCAGAGTTTAGATATTCCATAAAAAGATCAGGAATTATTTTTATTAAAGTAACACCCAAAGCTTAGATATTCCTTGTAAAAATAAGGCAAAGATTCTTAGTCTTTTCAATGCAAACACAGATTTCACAGAGACAGCTGAGCACTGTGAAGTTTTGTCAGCCATTTTTTATCAGAGACTTGGGGAAAAACTAATTAAGGCAGGGTTTTTCTGCCTAAAAAAATCATGAGCCTTTTGCTCCTAACAGTACGTGTGTCTTTCTTTTTTCCTCTCTTCTTGCCTTCTATTACAGAAGACGAAGCACCAATTTCCACTCCCTAATGTCAGATTCCTCAAAAGACATTGTGCTGGCTCTAGGCTGCTCTGCCAGCAGTCAGTACCTCTGGTCATCCTCCATATCTCTCCCTCAGCCAGCAGGGAGTCCCCTCGACCCAGGCAATGCCAATTTCTGGTGGAGCTTGTTGGACCACAAAAAACTGGATCATAGCCCTTAACTTTTATGGCACAACAGATTGGGGCTGCAAAGTGAAGGATCTTACCTCCGTTCTTGAGGGCCTGAGGCACTGAAACCTTCTGCTCTTCAGAGGCAGCTCAGTCTCAAGGACAAGATCGAGTGCTGCCTTTTGTTTGAGTGACTTTGTTAATAAACAACACCCAAGTTCCTTACCATGACTAAAACACAGTTTAAGTGTTTGGAGGAGAAAGGGAACGCCTTTTGATCACTGCTTCTGATCTGGAGCATAAGCAACCATGACTGAAGACTCCACTTTGTCAGCAAGCCTCCTCCAACTGCTGCTGCTCTTTAGGCATAACAGGCCAAAGACATAATGGATTTAATAACACGTTTTCTAACAACATGCTGCTTCCCTGTTGAAGAAGACATGCAATGACAATTTTCAATCTCTTTAATGCAGAAATTAGGGCTGGGGTAAAATCTTTTCAATTCCTCGGAAAGTGATGTTAAGCTGCAACATCCCCACCTTTCTCCTTGCAGCGTGTATAATTTCATCTTGCTCAATAGCAGCGGCACTCCTGAGTTCAGGAGGACTTTAAAAGGAGCGATTAAGCTCACGGAAGTAAGCTAACATGAATAAACTGCCCAGGCAACAGGGAAACATTCCAGAGCCCTGTGCTGTCACCAGGCTTTTGGCCAATGCTGTTTAATCATATATGCAAAACATAAATTACAGAAAGATTCATCACTGGTTAGAATATTCTCAATTAATACTTTTGCATTACACTGAAGAAGTTTCCCTGCAAACTGTCCTCAGATAAAAGCACTGGCATCTTCTCCCCATTTTCAGAGCTTCTACTGGCATCAGCAGTACCTAGTGGTAAAGCAAAGGCTTCTTCTGTGGGTCTTTTCAATGGATCAGGCAAGTTTGGAAGGGAAGTGTGAGAGCAAGTTTAGGACCACTCGAGCATCACTCCGCTGAAATTCCTAAATCCTATGACTCGTTATAAGGCATCATGGCAACTGCTGCAGGATAGATTCTCATCTGGGCTTGGCCTGCACATACCAGTTCATACTATCCAGGCATGTAACACTGGACTGAAACTCTAAATACTCATGGCACAGGGGAGGATATTTTCACTACAAGGCCCTCAGAGTTCACGACATCTTCTTTAAACAAAAACATAGCTTAAATATTTAAGACCCTCTTAAGCCTTGTCATAGAATTTATACAGCTCTGTCCAAAAACCTTTGATCTTCTGTACAGCACTGAGTAAAAATCCTAGCCAGTCACACTTTGGGTTACCAGGAGAGACATGACTTTTTCACCACTTCACAAAAGATTATAGTTTTCACATAAGATTATAGAGTCATGGTTGTAATGCCATCTGAAGACTGCATTTACAAAGATCTGACATTTAGCAGTTCACATCGAGACAACGGAGTGGTCAGATTCTCAAAAACTTTGAAGTTATAATTGAGAGCAACTTGTTAATGATTTTCTGCAGTATCTTACAGATGTAAAGTTTTAACTGCTTAGAAAGCCTTCCCTCACATGCTTCATGTGATCAGACACTAAATCCACACATCATAACAGATTTTTAAACAGTATTGGGTAAGCTATAAACAGCTCCCCCTGTACAGCATTCCCAAAAATAAATGTAACTGAAGATAACTTTGGCCCAATTTTTGTTAGGTCATAAACTTTCCCCATGCAAGACATCCAAAATTCTTCATGAAAAAAGTTCCATGAGAGTTTGAGAATCTGCTCCCATGCATGCTTATAAGCCTGACTACTAAAAATGGATGAAAAAAAACCCCACAAAAAACTATTGTCTCTCTACCCTATCTGCCTTTGCTTTTAGAATCGTGAATTAACAGATAAAAATCAGTGCAGACATTTGAGGTAAAATTTCAAAAGCTGACTACACCTTCTGTCCCAATACATACTTGTACTGTACAGCTGAAAACATAAACCCTCCTGCAGAACAGTGTATAGCTTCACTGGGACAGAACTTCCATGGCTGCACTTGCCAGGAAAACAAACCATGACCCGCCCCTCGTTCATGGCTCAAGCAGCATACTTCGAACAACCTAGCACATGCAAGAGGCATGGATCTTGGAAAAGTTTTTGCTTTTGGTACTTCTCCTTACAAGCGTTTTGTTCTGGAAAAGTAAGTTTGAGATGCTCGTGCCACTGCCCCAGGTCCATGAATACAAACGAAGCCGCACACTGCTCCAGATTTCTAAGCCCTTCACGGCGCTTTCAGCTGAGCTGAGAGGCAAATCGTGAAATTATTATCTGCAGCCCGAAAGACGACTGTGCTGGGTAAGCGGCAAGGCGCGGGTTCATTCTGCCATGCTGCTCCACTGAAGCGAGCGGAGCCGCACCGAGCGGCTGCGGCGGGCAGGGGCGCCGGCGGAGATGCGCCATTGGAAAGGATCCGTTCCCTGCCCGCCCGCCCGGCTGGGCAGGGCCGGTGGGAAGGAGGGAGGGCTCAGCTATCCGGACAGCCACGAGCCCCCGTACCAGGACATCGCTGCGGTGCCCGCGGCGGGAACCCGGCCACGGGACACGCGGGGAACACTCCCGAAGAGGACGGAGCGGAGAGCCCGCCCGGCCTGGCGGCGGCACGCAACCCTCCCGCGGGAATGGAGCCGAATCCGGACACCCCTTCTCCGCCCCCGACCGTGCTTTCTCCTCGGGCGACCCCTTCCCGCCCCTCCACGGCGTCCAGTGAGGCGCCCCCTCCCCTCCCCTTGGCGAGGATGGGGTGCGGGGGACGGCGGGGGCTCGGGCGGCGCGGCCCCACTCACCGCCCGGCGGGCGCCTCCGGCCTCCGAGCAGCAGCAGCGGCAGCAGCGGCGGCAACAGCGGCAACAGCGGGAGCCGGCGCGTCCCGGAGACGGAAGCGCGGGAGGAAGTGAGGTCGCACGAAGGGGAAACGGTGCCGTTTCCGGGGGGTGGACGGGGATGCTGTCCGGGAGTTCCCCCGCGGCCGGGGAGCTCTGGCGGGCGTGGATTTCTGTGCCTCGTAAACCCCGCCGAGTGACGGGTACGTGTTGCGGAGCGGGGTCGTCACACGGGCAGAGTAACGTGGGAAGGACACGGCACCAGCAGCCCCGGGGCTCCGCGCCCGCCCCGCTCCCCGTGGCCGCCAGCCCTCGGCCCCGCGGAGTGACCCCCCGTTTTCTGCAGTTACAGGCTGCCACAGGGGGCCACCCTTCACCCAAAGGAGCCTTTTCACGGGCAAACCCACTGAGCCTTCTGCCACTTTCAGTTCGGCCCAGTGTCTGTCCCCTACAGATCAGTTCAATATAGTAAAATTTAGTACTCAAAGCCAGGTTTCTTAGTATCCAAATGTAACCGCAGTGGTGCTCACCATTGCTCTTATATTTCAGCACAGAATAGACAAAAACCTCTGGACATGAAGTCCCAGCACGGTGCTGTTTGTTCATCACTTAGCTAACTCCAATTGTGTAACCTTAGGAATGATACGTCTTCAAGTAGTTTTCACGATTAGATGCTTTTATTAAAAAGTAATTTCTGCAGAATCCTTTCAATTAACTGACTTTCTTTGCCTAGAAAGAAAAAGTAACTGCAGTGTGAAGTCTCTTCTGGATAATCTGTAACCTGCTTATACAGATTTTTAAAGACAGACCCATTCTTTGCAGCAATTTGACTAAATTAAGCTAACCACCCTTGCTATTGACATTAGAGTAGTGGCTTTAAGTGTCTTCTAGATTTGTAGTTCACTGTGTACTTATCAAAAGTTTCTCCAGGAAAGGTTCACAGTATTGCATACACAACAATAAACAAAGCCAGAGAGCAGAACTTTTCTGCACTACCACCAGTGACACTCTGGGCTCGCAGAGCTGTTCACCTTCACCAGACAGTACGGCCACAGTGCCTTCATTCAGACTTAGTGACTGTATTCAGCAAATTCAACAATTCATGATCAAGGAATACAAGAGTTTCCAGGCAGATAGGTACTGCCTTGCTTTCTCTCGGGTGCTGTTGCCAGACAAGGTAGGAGCTGACTTCCAAGGTGCTAGCAGAGAGAAATAATTTCAGACATTGGTAAGACTGCACTTCCCTACCCTCAGGTTGCTCTGAGCAGGTCTGCCCTGTGCTGAATGTTCCAATGGGCACTTTGCCTCACAAGGGCTCAGAGAAAAGCTACTAAGAACAAAGTTTTAGGGACAGGCCCCTGCCTTTCCCCATTGCCTTCAGCTATGTACCAATTAAAAAGCATTGAAAATAGCTCCACATCGACTCTTAAAATCAGCACTGGATATATGTCCTGAGTTCCTACAGAACTGTGGGCTTCATTCCACTGAGAGCTGTACGGTTTCAGTCTGTTTTGGTGGCTGCTGCTGCTGCTGCTGTTCATATTTCCTTGCTGAAAAAAATAAACACCAATCAACACCGATTATACAATTTATTTTATATTATTATTACTATTATTACTATTATTCTATTATTTATTACATACATGTATATATATACACACACATATATTTTTATATCTATTCACGTAACTATGACAACAATCAAGAAAATGACGTAATATCAGAGAACCTAATTTCAGCCACACAAGGGGAAGTTTCAGTCACCATGTGGAACTTCGCCTTCAGCATATGACCTCATAAATATTGAACAGTGGAGTCACAGCAAAAGGTCAGTAAATCAACGGCAGAGTACTATGATTCCATTCAGGTCCTTTTATTAAAATAAAATTAAAGGCTATGGCTTCATAAGTTCTATTACAAATGACCTAAACGACTCAATATTCACAAGGCTGATGTCCGCATTTCTCATCTCCTCCACAATATACAAGCCACAAGCTAACAATTACAGTGACTTCAAAATTAATCTGATTAGCAAGGCAAAGGGAGATCAAAGAGTTGTGTGAAGTGGTATAAACACCATCAGCAAATGCCAGCAGGCATTCTGCTGTAGGAAGAACATCAAATTTTGTTCCTACAGAATGCAATGGCCTGCTGTAAGAATCTTTACATCAAGTCTTTGCATTTAAAAGGTGGTTTCAGATCACTAAAGGGTTTTTTTTGCCGTATTTCCTCTAAGCATGCACGTAGGGCAGATGTGATGCAAGGTCATGTGTTTCTCTGAATTAGACCACTGGAATATCAGGGGCATCGGGATCTTTCCTGCCTCCATCCTGATCTTCAGCATTAAGATGGGAGCAGCAACACTTGTTGATACAGTAAAATTCTCATGTATTTTCAGTTTATGTGTTTGTCTTACTCATGATTCCACAGTCCTCTCAACTTTTACAAATCTGTCCGCGTTTTGACAACATCCAGACCTTCTCAGCTGTTTCAAAGCGTAACATGGGATTCGTTTTGACATTTGCTTCAGGATAACTGCACAGCCGCTCCCTCGCTTCGTACTTCCTCACGCACCAGTCCTGCGGCCCTGGCTGCTGCAGAGCCCCTGCTCGCATGGTGCCACAGGACCGGGGGCGTTCCCACTGCACAAGGCTCAAGGAAGCCCCTCGGAAGGGGCTCGAAGCCCTCGAGGAAGGCTCGAAGGCCCTTTTAGGAACGGCCCCCAGTAGCCCGGAGGCGAGGGGGAGCCCCCTATTCCCTCTGACTTACCGATGGAGTACATCTCCAGCTGCTGCCGCAGGCGGATCTTCTTCACGCTGTCGTAGAAGTTGGGCTCGGGTGGCGTCTCGGCAGCCGGGGGCAGGGTGAAGATGCGCATTATCCTCCTCTTGTTCCTGTGAGGAGGGTGCACGGCGGTGAGAGGTGTCGCCCCTCCACGCGGGGGCCCCGCGGGATCCCCCACCCGGGCCTCCTCTCACCGCCGCGCGTAGACGAGGAGGGCAAGGCTAGCCAGCACCACCAGCAAGTACACGTTGGTGGCCTCGTTCCACGCTTCGTGCACCGAGTAGTCGATGACGCCGCCGTCGCCCAGCGCCGCCGAGGCGCCGCCGCCGCCCATCCCGCCAGCCCCCGCCGCCGCCATGGGGAGCGCGGCCGGGAGAGGCGGCCTCGCGGCCCCGGAAGTGACGTCAGGCCGGTGCCGGGCGCCATTGGGGGAGGGGGGCGGTCCTCAAGGGGCTCCGGGCGTCGTATTCAATGCTGGCAATAAACTGTGCTTGGGAACATTAATGCCGCTGATTGCTAGAATGTCGATACAGTAAAAAATTTTGATAGTCGGCGGGCCGGACTTGTGGGACAGCACCCAGCTCCCGGGCTTGTGCAACTCTGAAATAAATCGTAGAATCACAGAATCAGTGAGGTTGGATAAGAGCTCTCAGACCATCGAGTCCAATCTATGACCGGACACCACCTTGTCAATCAGATCATGGCACCAAGTGCCACATCCAGCCTTTCCTTAAGCATGTCCAGGGATGGTGACTCCAGCCACCCCCGCCCCCCCCCCCGATCAGCCCATTCACGTGTCAAATCACCCCTTCTGTGAAGAAATTCCTCCTAATGTCCAACCTAAACCTGTGCTGGCACAACGTAAGACCAAATCTTCTTGTCCTGTCACTTGTTACCATGGAGAAGAGGCCGACCCTCACCTGGCTACAAGCTCCTTTGAGGGAGCTCTAGAGAGAATAAGCAATGTCTCTTTCAGGTGTGTAACTACTGGCTTGTTGCACACTGGGTAACTAATCCAATTTTTCTGGACTGTCCGTGAGGCCCGGGGATGCCTTCCCACGCTTTCATTTCCCATCCAGCTACCAGATCCTTGGGGAGAGGACATGCAAGGTGGACCACTTCTCTGCCAGGGACATGGGCACCAGAGATATAAGAAGTCTTTTGATTTTGCAGTGCCAGCATCCAAGGGAAAGGCATGGACGGGTGTGGGGCCAGGAGAACTGTGAATTCAGCAGCTCCAGGAGCCTGGCAGGCATGGAGTCATCTGGCTGGGCTGGTGGTTTTGCAGTGGCAGTGGAATTAATGTGGAATGTAATTCTACAGTGCATGGTGTCAAAAAAAACGAAGAGGTTCAGATTGCCGTGAGCTCTCACTTTCTGAAATGCTTTCTGAAAGATTTGTGTGGGGTTTTTTTGTTTTTGTTTTTGTTTTTTTGCCAAAGTGGGAGTTGCTGGATATTCAGGTGCTGGAATAACATAGCTTAATTGATGGTCCATATGCTCCTGATGCCCAAAAGCACAGTTCTAGGATTATGCTTTGGTAGAGCAAATGTTTAAGGTCAGAACCCTGAAAAGTTTTCTGAACTGCTTAATGAGACCTAGGTAAACTAGGCTGCTCTAACACTCACACACAAACTCTTTCCCTGATGCCTGCTCTGGAATGTTTGAGCTACATGAGAGGTTAGGTATGCTTTTCACTAGGGCCTTCTGCTTCTTTCTATCCACCTCTGCCCCTGATACTTCCTTTTACCTTAGCTTCCTTCAGATACTAGAGCTGTTACAGTTTAGACATCAGTGATATGGTGTGAGGTTTAGGCAAACCTCCGGGTGCCTCTTGGGCACCCACACTGCCGGGTTATGTTCTTCTTTTAAAAGCCAAGCAAGTTAATAGTTGCTATAAAGTTATTTACTGCAGAAGCACATCAGTCTCAAAAGCAATGGCATAAAGCAATGGCAAAACTGCAGTGGCAAAATGCAATGGCAAAATGCAATGGTATAAAGCCATAGCATAGAGCACCAGCTCTCCCTGATGCATGTTATTTTATAGAAACTTTCCAACTAGCTAAGACACAAACTTGGACCACTACTTCTTAACCTATTAGAATTCTAGTTTCTTAGCATGCCAGGCTACATATAGACTACGTACATGGCCTATCTTGTTCTAACTGAAAAATGTAAGCAATATTCTTAACTCTATTATGTCTGAAGCCAGGTTCTTGGAGCCTCTAAGGAAACATTAGTATGTTTTTCAACCTTCACTAGAACATGTACTACTTCTCAGGCATCTAAGACCTTTTACTCATTAAAAGCACTTAAAACTTAGTCCATTTACTTACTTATTCACTCCATCTATTCACTTACTCATTCCATTCAAAGACTTTAATTCAATCCCTGCACTCCGATTTCTCTCTGAAGAAATCAGAGAGACTCGTGACTTACTGACTCCAACAATATGGTTCATGTCCCTCTGCTTAGCATGTATTTGGGGTATGTGCTTATGTTATGGTTATGCATCTTCACCCTTTATAAGACCATAAAGGGGGAAAACCCAAGTATTTTTAGGGCATAATTTATCTAATCTATGTCAAACATTCATAATCACACCTCCTGTGCCTGGGAAATGCTCTGATCCCTTACTGAGTGCAAGGAGTCTAGACACCTCATTTGCATGGCATTTGCTTTGCAGATGTCTAATCAGCCTGAGGAAACTCTATTCTTTGAGGACCTGTGTTCTCACTACAATATGTTCTAAGTCTTTCTCTTTCCATGGTATGGAACAGATTCATTTTAAGAGGCCTTAGATCAAGACATAAAAGAATATGAGTGAAAATGATAATATAAAAACCAAAAACATAAGGGACTGGTGTCATGAGAAAAGTTCCTTGCCCCACATGATGTGGGAAAGGAGGATAGAACAGCAATTAGACATAATTCTAGGTCATTAAATTGGAATGGCACCCATGCACAGAACTATGGAAACCACTAAGAGAGATGAAAAAAAAATCACTTATGAAACACAACAAAAGACAGTTAAGTAAGCATGGTATCAGAGGAATTTTAAGCAGTTTATTGTGAAGTTGAGGCTTTTTGTTTGCTTTTTTAGTATGTTGAACTTTTCTGCTAACAAGCCTGACAAGAAATCGTTACACATCTTTGAAGAAAAGTGGAAAGAACAAATGTAAGTAACTTTGTTGCTCTTTATATTGCATTACTGTCTCTAGATCTCAGCTGAGATCAGGCTCCCTTGTATGAGGAGGAGAGAAGCTGTATTTAAACTGTAAAGGCACTTTTTATATTAACCCTGCAACTTGCTCTGGACAAGCCAGGAAGGGACTGGGATGCCCCAGGAATCTGCACGCAGTCTCCCATGCAGAGGAAACCAAGGCCTGCATCCACAAAGCATGACATCAGGTCCTAGGATTTTCTCTGCAGCCTCCAGCACACAGAAACAGACTGCCTCACTCAGCATTGCCCAATTCATTTGATTTAATGAAATCCTTGATTTAAGGTTTTGATTATCCACCCACCCCCAACCTACAAGACAGGCAGAGACAGATTTTCCCCTTCCACATACCCCCTGAATTTAGTAAATGTGAATCAGTGGATAGGACAGGGTTAGATTGAGAAGCACAACAGCTGGTGCTGCCCTGAGCGTGGCAGCCTTGCAAACCTGAGGAAGAGGGGTGATATTCCCCTTACTTGACTGAAGAAATAGGAGTTCTGGGAGTGCAGGCCTTCTGCATGACTTCCTTGAGGAATCTGGTTCAAGCAGCAAAGTTGATTGACTTTTACACCTACAGGTTAGCTTGTCTGGTAAACTGTTATTTCCTTTTAGAGCTTGGGCTTTTGTTTAAGTCTTAGGCTCCTAAAGCACATTCAGAAGTGGGAATGCAAGCTGCTCTTGTATTCTGACAGAACATAGTCAGGCCTTGCAGTTGCAATGTTGTGTGAGAAATTGTGTTACCTGTCCATGTAGATTATGTAGCATATTTATTTGTGGCTTGGATGAGGTAGGATGGGATAACCAATACTTGTATATGCTGTTCACACATGAGGACAGAAGTTGTTTTATATTTTCTTATACTTTCTTATACAAAAGCTGAGTGTAGGGAAAGGACTGTCATTTTGTGCTATGCCTTTATAGCATCTGACCTACAGGATCCTGGCCTATGACCAAAGCCTGTAGGCACCAAAATAATAATATGTAATAATAATATATGGCACTGGCATAAGCTAAACATAGTTAATGGAGACCCAAGCTTAGTGGCTAGATTTTCAGCATTACAGGCAAATAAGCCTGGGGGTTTTAGTTTGACTAAGACACAACACCCCACTCTCCCTCCATCCCAGGAATGAGCTCTTAGGGAGAAAAACACTTTTGAATCCCAACTTATATGGAGACTTTGTTCATTCCACAAAGAAATCCAGCGTGTACTTGATAAAAGCACTCACTTCAGTCTCATAGATTTATCAAGAGAATTGCTGAAAATGGTCTTTCAGCTCTATAGGCAAAGGATTCACTTTGCAAAAGTCATTAGCATCCAGCAACTACTAGAAATTTGATTGAGAGTTGCTGAATGTTATCAGTTTTGAAAATCCAGTTACTTAATATCCGAAATGTGAATGCTGGAACAGTAATCTTGGTCTTTTAAAAATTATGGCCAAAGAATCTGTATGTGTGTGTGTGTCTATATATAAATATATAATTTTTAATGCATTTTGAGTTACCCGGAGCTAAACAGAATCAAAAATTGCTGATACATAAATATCACTGTAATGTAAATATATTCACCATTTAATCCTGATAAATACTGGATTATAGACTTCTTAACAGAGACTGACAATTATTGGAAATCATGTGGTCATCTCAAGTATACAGGGCCTCAATTAAAATAAAACCACAAAATCCTTTTCCTTTTTAAAAATACCATCTAGCATATAATTTATTTGGTTGGACTCTACAAATATACACATTATATCACACTGGAAGAACTTGAGAACCACTTTTTTCTTGTTCCCAGGGTCTCTTGACTGTTGGTAAGACATTACAGTCATAATGATAGAATCGGTTTACAGTTGCATGTTCTGCCAAATAGCTCACAAATTATATTTGGCAAACAACACTGCCTCTGTTCACAAAGATAATGATCTGATGTTTTGTTTAGGTGGCACCAAAGGAAAATATTATTTTAGAGCTTGTGACGGAATTTCAAAAACTTTTTGTGGCATTCTAAACTTCAGATACATTTAAAAGTTACCACTCTATTAAATACATTTCATATATTTCAATTCCTCTACATTTACTCAGACCTACACAACAGCTGGTGTAGATACTAATGTGCTACTTTTTACATCTGATGATGTCAAACATACAGATGA